TCACTTCTGTCACCGTTAGTTAAAAATAATTGTTATTGCAGTCTCCCGTACGCAGTGTCGCTTTCTTTCCTGGTGAAACCCATGAAGTGCTGGTTTCAGTAGCAGAACGTAGAGCATGTAGAATCTGATCCTTTTCTTCTGGCCCAACAGCACCTGCGGCAACGCGCTAACTAGCAGGACTTGTTAATTACAGTTCTGATTTGTTGATCTTCATGGCTTCTGATTTTTGAAAGCAAGGAAATTAATCACCACGTGTGTCTCCGCCAGTAGAAAGGACAGGAGCTGGTCTTCCAAGTACTGGGCCAGTCACTACTAATCCGATGCTTGAATTTTTCTGTAGCATTTCCTCTTTTGGTGGCTAGAACCATGTCTTAACGTCCAGAAAGCCTGTCTCTGGGTAGGTATTTGCCCGTAAAACAAAGGGTAGAGAAACATCAAGTTGCTGAGATGGTACTGAGAATATTTGGGCATCTGATGTTACCTTAAAAAAAACACAGAGAAGACTTAGGATTAAAAATGCAGTCGTATGGGGCTGGGGATTTAGCTCGGCGTCGTAAGCGCCTGCCTTGCAAGCAGACAGTTGTGAGTTCGATCCCTGGTACCGATAAAAATGAAAAAGACCAAAAAAGAAATGCGGTTGTGGCACTCAGCATTTATATGCATTGGTTACAGTTCCTCATTGATTTCTTGCAGCCAAGCTGGGAGGTACCAGCTCTATCTTTATTTTACAGTGGGAGGAACTGAGGTGCAGCAAGGATTCCTAATTTGCCCACAGTCTGCAGGTCTGGAGCTGGGGAGGCAGGAAGCATAGGTCACTGTGGTCACCTGAAAGGCGGAGGGGGAATCTGGAAGAGGGGAAAGCAAGCCGAGGCTCTCCATCTGGCAACTTGCACCAGCCTCTTGTCATACTGCTTCCTGCCATGGTCAGAACTTACGCTGACGTTTGTCCTCAGGATGCTCAAACAGCCCAGTCTGCTACACCTGCAGGCTGCCAGAAGACTGACACAGCATGCCTGCAGTCTTTGCACCCTGGGAGGATGAGGCAGGAGATTGCTATTCCAGCCCAGCCATTTAGCAACTCAGCGAGATCTTGTGTCAACATAAAAAATAAACCAGCAGGAGGGCTGGAAATGTAGTTTGGTATGAAGGCACTGTGGAAATCTGATGCCCCCACCCAGCAGCCAAGGAGGAGAGTGCTTCTGCCCGCAAGAGGTTCTTAGTGATTTACTCTTTTCTGTCTTGCCCCTTTTGGGTTACTTCAGAGAAATTTTGCTTTCTTTGGCACAGCCTTCACACCCTGGTGCCGTCGAGATCAGGTGACCATTTCGTGTGTGTGCTGCATGCACGGGGTTTCTTCCAAATGTCATGTTTTCCTGTGGTCCTCACAGCGCCCCTGGGAGCCCCTCTCTGGCTGGACTTCCCCGGTAGCAGTAGCTGCATGTTCAGAGGCCCTTGGCCCTTGGCTTCCTTGTTCTCCCCGTCAGGGACACACGCAGTACAGGGACCAGCTCAGCAGATTTGAGCTCTGGGTTTCAGCCAGTGGACTTCTAAAGAGTTTACGTCTGTCCCCAGCTATGGGAAGCACAGAAGCACCTGTCTGGATAATTCAAACCGTGTTCCCTGCTGTTCCTGCTCCTATCTAAAATGGCTCAAACCAAAATAGGTGGAAGCGGATCCGTGTTATTGATGATCAGTAACAGAAGCTGTCAGGACTCCTCGCTCCTCGCTCCAGAGGCAGGCTGGCCCTGGAGGCTGTTTGGCAGCTTGGTTGCTTTTTGGGCTTCGTGTACCCCATCTTCCAGGAGGGCTGTCCTCGGGCAGGGTTATTTTTGCATGATGAAGACACATTATGCCTTCCCCACCTATTTCTCAACTTGTCTGATTATTTATTTCACATTTAAGATCTTCATTTCAAAACTAGGAATTATGATAACTTCCTCATCGATCTGATGGGATTAGAATGAGAGGTCCACAGCCTTTCACCTTTTTAATCTCAGGACTCTGGACCATGATGGAGAAGCGTGGATCCGCCACCCCTGGTGTTTGCTGTTAAAAGCTGAGAACTCAAAAAGAAAGGAAACAAAAGTTGAGATCTCCAGAGAGTTTGCATAAGTTGTTATCTGTTCATATTTGGCATTTTTGAAATTATAACAGAAAAAATGGCTACATATTTATTCATTTGGAAATAACCACCATTACTGGTAACATAGATCTTTTTATGAGAAATATTTTCCAAGATAAAAACAAAAAGCATCAATGAACCTAGTGGTATTGTTTCATAATTTTTGCAGATCTTGTCTGGTTTGTGGAAGACAACTGGATTTTCAGATACAATTCTGAATTCAGTGCATCTTGGGTTGAAGTATATGCCCAGGAGCCAGCTCTTCACCGGTGTGTGATTGGAAATGGGAGAGGATTTCTGTAACCTTTTCAGCGCATATGGGTATTCTTTGATTCGCATTAACACGCAGGACTGTACTATCCTGCACGGTAGTCTGAAGTCATTTGGTCAACTTTGCATCCTCTGTTACATTAAAATCCACTGGTTTCCTTGCCTTTCCAATGACTTATGGCCCTGCCTGGTTTTAAAAACATCCTACTTAATCATTTGGAAAAAATTCGGTTCACCAAGTGGCTCAGATCTTCCAAAAGTTGCCTTGGTTCATCAAACCATATTGAAATACTTCTCAGGCTCGGCTGAGAAGTGTTGTATTGTGAAGCTGCCGAGCTCAGGGTGCAGCTGTATGTTTTCCAGAATTCTAATTTTTGCTTGAGAGCTCAGATTGGATTGTTGGCAACAAACACTATTTTCCAGGAAGCAATGGGCTCGCTTCATTCTTTTTAATAATACATCTGCCAGAGGCTGAAGTCTAAATAACCAGTTTTGTCTAGAACTGTTCTTTGAAGAAAAAAATAAGAAAGAAAAAAGTATTGCAAGAAAAAAAGTGGCACATTTAGTTTATAACCCCAGCAGTCAGGCAGATGCCTTTCCATGAGATGGTCATTGTACTTCAATGGGAAGCAGAAATCCTCCCTGCATTCCTCCCATGCCATTGTAGAGTGTCAGAAAGAATTGAAACTAGGTGTGGTGGTATGCACCTGTAATCCCAGCATTCAGGAGGCAGAGGCAGGAGGACTGCTGTCAGTTAGAGGCCAGCCTAGGGCTACATGGTGAATTCAAGAGTAGCCTATCTCAAGAGAGAGAAAGGAGAGAGGAGGGGAGGGGAGGGGAGGGGAGGGGAGGGGAGGGGAGGGGAGGGGAGGATTTTGGGAGACCTGTGTGCACCTGGCTTTTTCGTATGTTGCAGAGCTAATAAATGCATTCTAAAATGTGATGGTTTTCTATCTTTTGATTAGGTCTCACCTCTGGGGTCAGAGGCTCTCCGGTAGTCTGAGTTTAGTTGTTCAATAGTTGATCAGCCTTTGAAATCTTACACAATTCTCTGCTGCTTTTTGAGGGCCTGAGGGAGAAGATGGGTTGGCGGGGAGGATTAATAGCCACGGTTAAATTCTCAGAGGTCTCTGCCCTGCCTTGCATACAAAAATAAGAACAATTTTAAAAGGACTGTTGCAGAGTGACGTTTTCTTAGGATGCCACCTCCCTCTGTTATCTACTTCTGATGATTTTGGAACAAACTCCGAGTCCCCTGCCTGGTGGGTCTCAACTTTCTCGTCTGTCTCCTTACATTCCTCCCCAATCTGCATCCCTTGCCCATGCTGACGTGTCACCTCATAGTTGTTTGGGGTACACCTTGTGACCTTGATGTCCTCAGCGCAAGACAGGAGTGGGTAGCCACTCCAACCTCGTTTCTGTTACATTTGCAAAACACAGAGGCAGGGATCAGCTCATGTATTCCGGCTACAAAATCCCTGCAGGCTCCCGTCTGAACCGTGGAGATGTGCAGACTCAGGTATTTATGTCTCAGCCCAAGATGTATTTACCTCCCACATTGTCTTCGGTCTGCGCCTGGGGATCTGAGCACTGTCACCAAAGCTGCCAGCAGCCCATTCGGTTCCCAGGGCAGTGGCTCGTGGGAGGAACACTGTAACAGCAGCCACGAGGAGTCTGCCACAAGAAGGTCCCTGCGTGTGTGTTAGAAAACGTCAGCCCCTGTGGGTGCCAACTGCACTAGGGTGCTCAGGAGGGGGCACCAGGTGGCCCAGGTGATTGGTAGCAGGATCCACCCCCTGCCATGGCAGGATTGCCCCTCATGGTGCCCGCCTCTCCCAGGAGGATGAGCCCACAGGTGGCAGTGCCACACTTCACGGGACAGGGAGCTTTTGTCCTGGGTGATGGAAGTCAGTGGCCTGACCATTTGGAAAGAGCTGTGCCTTGTCTCACAGGTGCACGCACACACACACACAGGCACACCAGAGCCTGACAGCTGGGAAGCAGCCTTGTCCTTGTCCTTCGGGTAGCAGAGAAAGAGTCCAGCAGTGACCAGGCTGAGGGGACCTGGCTGGGGAGGAGCAGGATGATCCTTTGTGGTGTGTTCGCCGGGCAGAGCCAGCAGCAATACTGACTGCTTTGGAGAACACAGCTCTCCTGGCTGGGTCACCTTATTTTCCAGCATAGGTTTTGGGACCAGGCTAGGTGACAGTGTGATTTTTGTTATTTCAGTAGCTGCCACACGGATTCATTTATGTCAGTGTACAGAAATCCGGCGAGAATTTGGCTTTCCGAAAATTGATGAATAAGAACAGAGGTGACCTTAGTGGGCCCCAGGTCAGGGCCGCCGGGTTGGAGGCCCGTCCCTCCTGTCTTTGGGCGTTGTCCTGCGCGCTCGTGGGTCTCAGTGATGTTGGCGCGTGCGCTCCACCTCCCTGTGGGGGAGTGGGAAAGGTGGATCTGGGCAGAACCTCCACCCGGGAAGAAGCAGGGCAATAAGGTAAGGGAGTGGCTCTGCCTTCCGTCCCACGACTTTCGTTCTTTGCATGATAGGGGCGCTGCGTCACGAGTCTGTGCCTCTCCCCACTACAGTGCCCTTTCTGTTTTTAAGGAAAGAAGGATTGTCGAAATGCGGAAGATGCAAGCAGGCATTTTACTGCAATGTGGAGTGTCAGGTAGGTGTGGGGCAGCTGGCAGGGAGGGCCCCCTTTCCTCCAAAGACCAGGAACCTGGCGTCCTCCTTGTCCTTGTCATGTGGTTCTGCAGCGCCCTCCCGCGGCAGCCAGAGGCTACCTGTGCGCGTGCTACAGGAGTGTAGCAGGAGACTGGGGCAGGCGATCAGTGTGAGGCTCTGGCCAGGACCAGAAGCGAGGCAGGAAAGCCAGGGTGGGTGGGCAGGTGTATTGCCCACGTCCCTGGTGTGCCTGAGGTGATCCACAGCAGGTGGGATGTATAGAGGGGACACATGGCAAATCTCTCCCGCAGGCCGCCCCTCATCCTAGGCCAGCTTGATTGTAGCCTGAGCCAGGCCGGGCAGGCCTCTGTGGAGTCGGAGGGAGCCCCGCTGAGCTTGCACCAGGCCAGTGACCCCGAAGCAGCCAAACAAGGGTTGAGGTGCTGAGCGGGTGAGCCCCAGGACTCATGATGGGTGCTGCAGGCAGAGGTGGGGGAGCCCTTGGTGAGGCTTCTGAGGGTTGAAGGGTGAATGCAGGTTCCCCTGGGTGCTGGCTGGTGCTACATAGAAGATGCCTCCGAGGTCAGAGATGGCCAGTGTGGTCTCTTTCGTTATTTTTTGTGTGGTTATACTGTTTTAGAGTATTTCCTCATACTGTGTTTCTTGTAGTCTTTCACACGCTAGTATGTATTGGCACTTCCTAAGCTCTCTGTCTCCTCCCCAGCTTCGTTTTTAAAGGGAGTGAGTGATACACCTTGGCACATGGCGCTTCTATGTTCATTTTTTTTTTTTCTTTTTCGTTTTTATCGGTACCAGGGATCGAACTCACGACTGCCTGCTTGCAAGGCAGGTGCTTATGCCGCTGAGCTAAATCCCCAGCCCCATGGAGCTTCTATGAAAGGGAGGCTCCAGTGACAGGGAGGATTTTCTGCAGATTTGCGTGTCTGCCATTTCTTGCTGTCCCTGGTGACGCCCGCTCCCCATTACTCCCAGCCCATCTTCTCTCTACTTCGGATTACACACTATTTGAGTTTTCTCTTGTCGCCTCCCTAGGCTGTTGGCCCCCAAAAGGTCCTGAGAGCTTTACTTAGGAGTGGCAGAGATTGTCAGCCTTTGTGTTCCGTGCAGAGCGAAGCCCATGCTGGGAGGTTGGCGTGGGAGTTGCAGACTCCCTGGTGCAGGGGACAAGCATCTGTCCCCAGCTTGGAGAGATGCTGGGCCCTGGCAGATACACAGTGTGACTTTTGGTGTGAACCACACACTTCTGGGAACTCATTGCCTGATTCTTCAGAGACATAAAGGCCAGTAAATTCACAGATGGGTCAGAGGACCTCACACAGGGTGGAGGAAGACCTGGCTGAGTCTCAGGAGTCTCAGGTCATCTGCCAGTCTCGGTCTTGGTACCTGCACACAGAATTATGTGGCTGTTTTAGCTTGAGGAGTTGTAGGAATGGAATGATCATGATGGGTGTGAGGGGCTGTTATAAGTAATAATATCATAGTCCACGTCAGGTTGGATTTGTGCAGTTTAGGCTGCACTGAAGCTTCGATTTACGCGAGGGATGAACAGCACACTTCCCATTTAAGGGGCTTGATTTTTGAACCTAAGAGAAGGCTGAGAAAAAGTTCTTCTAAGAACTTTTGGACTCAAATGGTATATGTAGGGCACCTAACACAAGGCCAGCCTGGGCAATGTAACAAGACATCATCTCAGAAAAAAACAAAAAACTCAAACTACAAAAAAAAAAAAAAGAAGAAGAAAAAGAAGCTGAATTAGTCCTAACTCCTCTTCATGAGCTAGAGGAGTCTGTTCATTTGGGACCAGGAAATGTGACAGTGGCCCTCCCCAGGCCTGTCCAGCTCCTGGGCACCCTGCTGAGCTGTATTTCATTAGGCCTTGCAGGGGGCACCTCTGGGATGAATTGTCACAGTCCAAGTTGGGATTTGGAGGTGTCTGTTATGGTCGCCTGGGAGACCTTGTGTGTGAGCGTGCAGGTGGGGGGCCTGTTGGTCAGGGCACAGCCAGCACTCCAAGGCTCCGAACATTTTTCCCCAGAATAATTCGTACCGACGGTGCCTTTGTCATGAGACCTTGGGTAGTAAGGAGCCCAACATAGAGGGTGTGCAGATGGTCGAGGCACCATGGTCAACAGTTTGCCCTTCTGACCGCTGGAGTCCGACACAAAGACCCCCAGAGCCAGGAGAGCAGGGCTGCTTTTCATGGCTTGTCGCAGTGTCCCACGTCCGTAGTCCCTCCTGGGAGAAGCGGTGCAGCAGCTCCTGTAGCCTCTGCGCCTGCAGCCGGCAGGGTGGGTCAGACCTATAAGGGCCGTGAGGGCGCTACCTCGGGGTAGCAGGGTCTTAGAAGCTTAGTAAAAGTAGGAGCCTCAAAACGCAGGACAGGGCCAGGGCTTCCTAGTGGACGTGTCAGGAACACTGGCCCCGGACACAAACGCAGTCAAGGTTCCCGAATTGGGGGACATTGGAAAGACCTCAGGTGGACTCTGCTGGGGGACACGTGCAGCATAATGTAAGAGCAGGGGCTTGCAGGTCGTCTCCAGATAAAAAAGCCCGGCAGGTAGCAGAGCGTGAAGGCCCTGGGTTCAATCTCCAGCAGTGCAGGACAAGAGCAGGTGCCAGGAAGGTCTTCAAGGGATTCCCTACCAACCAAGAAAGCCTGGGCTGCTCCTACCCGGGCTCCCCCAGAGCTGTGCACAGGTGGTCAGTGCCACGGGGGCTGGAAGGATGAGAATACCGTGCCTGGGGTGGGGGTGGCCTTCCTGGCTCAGCTGTGAGGGGACAGAGCTTTCCTCAGCCTGTAGCCCTGTGCTCCGGAGGCCCCGGGTCCATGTCACGGAGAGGAGCTGGGGGAGCTGGCCCATTGCGGTTGTCTTGGGCAGAGACCGGCACAGGGGGGTGCAGGCGCACACCTTCCTGAGGTCCCCTGGCCGGGGAGCTGGGCACCTCAGGTCCTCCTGCCGCTCTGGCCCCAGTGCTCCAGCGCTCGGCTGCCCCAGCCTCAGATCCCCCACCGTTCCTTCCCTCTTGGTTCCCCTGACCCAGCAGGACGGAGCCAGAGGAAAGATTTTAATTGATGAGGCATGGAAAAGGTAACGGGAGGAAACAGAAAAGAGACAGCGCTTCCTTTTTTAGGTCTGCTTGTTATTTTGCGACCTGGGTGTTTTTTAAAGAGTTATATTTATTTTTATAAATATGCCCAGAAAGCTAAGTGTGCTCTTCACTCAGACTTCATTCCATGGTACCATGACACCTTCCCGGCAATCATTTGGGGACGTTTTTCCATAGGATAATTATTGTATGGTAGAACCATCTGATATCTATTTCTTAACCTTAGACACAGAGAAAAAAACTTCCTGATGAGTGTGCTTTTGAAAGTAGCAAGAGTCATGTCCCAATGGAGAGTTTAAAAATAAGTACCCACGGGGCCGTGTGACCAAAGATATAGGAACAATCTAGGCTTCTCTTATCAACTGGAAAATAACCCAAGTGGGGGTGTGGGTGACCAGTGCTGGGTGATGGGTCAGAGCCCTAGGCTCAGCCCTGGTTGAAGGCACTGTGTCTTTTAACCCAGCCTATAGGAGCTCGGGCAGCTTGACTACTATTTTATTGATATATTTTCTAAATGTTAAGCATCGGCACAGGAAAAAATGTGAACGGCTGAGTTCAGCCACCTCGGTTTTGTTGGGAAGACAAAGCAGAGAGACCCTGTGTCCCAGCAAAGGTCCCCCCTAGCCCTCCCACTCTTCCTCTGGAGGTGATGGTGGTGGCGGAGAGCAGAAATCCTCTGACATATTCTTACTGGCCAGCATTCTGGGACCTCGAATCTGCATGCCTGCTAGCTGGCCAGGCTTGGCTTGCAACTTCCATTAGGGAGACCTCTGGGTTCACCAGTGCCGGCCGGGGACAGGAAGGTGGCCTCACGGTGGGCACCTGATCCCCAGGAGGCAGAGCGCTTGGCTCACTGGTATCAAGAAATGCCACAGCCTAATTACATGTAGACTTTATTGCTTTACTGTATTCATTATAGAAAATTCAGAGGACTCACACCAAGACCAGACGCATGGCTTCTCCTTTGAGAGAGAACTGAGAATCAATTATGCATTCTCAAACACCTTCCTCAGTGCTTTCTGAGCATATGTGTGTGTCACTTTTTTGGAAAATGATCCTGTTTAACATAAAATTTTACAGGGTTTGCTATCAGGGTGGGGGTAGTAGTAGTCGTAGCTTGAATTTGGAAGAAAAGTAATAATTTTTAATTTATTTATTTGTTTTTTGACTGGGGATCAAACTCACAACCTCATATTTGTCAGGCAGGCACTTTTGCCACTGAGCTAAATCCCTGGTCTGAAAAGTAGTAATTTTAGAAAAAAAAAATATTTTAGGAAAACTGAATGTTTTAAAAGCCATGAAGAGTTGCAAAATCTATTGTGTACAACAAAGCTGCCCGTATTTTTAAAAACTTGTGCATTCGTAAAATTCATTGTTCTTCATCTGGGTTAGCCTAGTTTTTTGTTTCATTTTATTGTTTTGTCCTGTGTTTTAGTTTTGCCCAGTGTAGTTGTTTATAATTCCTTATAGGCAAAATTAGGGCAGGTTGCTTCTGTCCAGTCCTCTGGGACCTGTAGGCATCTCGACAGTGGAAAAGTTATCCACACAGGCTGGAAACAGGCGGGCTGTAGCTCGGCCCCCAGGTGTCTGGGGTCCCTCGGTAACAGGAGGAGAGAGTGCTCAGAGCCTGTCTCCTATTTCCACCGGACACTCTCTCTTCCCTTCCTTTATTTTTCTTTTTTTGTTCTGTTGATTCAGGGTCTCCCTCTGTAGGTCAAATTGTAGCCTTGAACTCATTGTGTGACCCCAGGCTGGACTTGAGATCCCAGCGATCCTCCTGCATCGGCCTCTCTGGTGCTGGGATTACAGACCTGCATTGCTACCCCATTCTTTTCTTTGTGTTTTAAGCATTAAGACTGATCCTGCCATAGTGGTTCATCTCTGTCATTTTTCCCCTCATCCAGTCGCCCACCATCATTTTCAGGTTTTGAAAGTAAGACCTTATTACTGGGCTGTACCTCCTTTGCTGAAGCCCCTGAGTTTCCATCCATGTCTGGCTTTGTGTGGTGCTGTGTCTAACTATAGGTGCCCTTTCACCCTGGGTCCTGACACAGCATGAACGGTGTGAGGTGCAAGACTTCGTGTCCTGGCCCTGCCTCTTGAGTCAGTGGCTGCGCTTGTTGAAAGACTAAATGAGCCCAGAGGGGAACCGTTGGCAGTGTTTGTCAAGACAGCCCTGGGTGCCAGGCCCTGCTCCAAGTACATCACTTGGGTCACCTTTCAGGATCCTGTTGAGGACCTCAGTGTTATGCAGGTCCTGCATTGAGGGGTTGAGAGCCTTGAGGCTTCGTGTCTGGTTATCACTGCTGGAAGGTGTAAAATCACAGACTCGGAGGTCGGGACCTGTTAAGTATCTTAGGTATCATGTTATTTGCAGCCAGGGAGCTGGGTGTTGAGGGGATTAAGAGGCCTGCTTGGCATCACGCAGCTGCAGAGTGGAAGGAGATGAGGACTCCAGGCCCCAGCACAGTGGATCCCTTTACTCCTGCTTCCCAGCATCCTGCCCCCTTCCTGGGTTCCAAGTCCCCCCTTGAGACCAGGGACAGGTGCTGTTTCTATTAACATTAATTTCAGATCCCTTAGATCGCTATTGAGTGCATGAATTCATGGCGTTCATGAAGGGTCTTGTCTGGCTTCCTCCTCTTAGGAGCTCGTTGGCACTGGGGACCCCCAGAGCAGAGCCCTCCCCAGCACAGTCCAGAAAACCAGCACCGTAGACGCAGCAGGGGACACCAAGCCATGCTGGGTCGTCTGGGTTGTTGTTTGGTCCTCCTGTGCCAGCCCAGGGAGGAGGATGCAAATGGTTCCTGGGTCCCTGCCTCCCTGTGGGCTCTGTATGCATGGCTGGGCAGGGAGCGTGGCCACACTGTTACCAGCTCTGAGCCTCCTCCGGGCGCGCGTGCACCCTGAAGGCTTTGGCTAAAAACAGGTCCCCACTCCCCTGAGTGTCGCTCGTCATCCTTCTCCCTCCGAGCGCCTGGTTATATTTGGCTTGGCGTTATTTAACTCTGTGGAACTTCTTGGCACAGAACTGGAGCTTTGGCCTGTGCCGGACCTGGCAGTGAGTCCAGAAGCAGTGCGGAATCCTCCTCCTAGGGTCTGGGTGGGCCCAGGGCAGTGGGGCAGCTCCATGCCTTCAATCACTGTGTGGATGCCCCAGAAACATCAGCACAGGTGCGAAGCCTGCAGCTGCATCCATGGACAAAGCACCTTCAGTTCCTGGGCTCCAAGGATGGGAGATGGGCACTGTACCAAAAGGCATTTGGGGGGAGAGAGGCCCGAGAGCAGCCCACGGTAGGGCAAGGGCTGCCGGTGTCCTGAGAGGATGTGGGAGGGAATGGATTGTGGTAGGAGGGGGCACCGTGCCCTATGGCATTGCTGCTGTCCTCTTAGGACTTGGTCTTTGGCCTCAAGGGAAGCCAGGAGGAGTCCCTGAGCCAAGAGCCACAGGACCTGAGTGTTGTCCAGCAGGCTCCCTCTGGCCACCCCCTTGTGTGTCTTCCGCAGGTTTTCAGGCAGACCCTGGCTTGTGATTGGAAGGCCAGGGTGGTATCTTCAGTGAAAGACCTCGGAGCTGCAGCAGGTGGCCAGGGGGGCCGAGAGTGTAACGTGTTCAGAGGACAGAGAGGAGGGATTGCCCCAGAGTGGGTGCAAGGCTGCCACCTTGACGGTCAGCTTCCAGCCCACAGCTGAGGTTGCCATGGCCAGTTTCTGAGCAGGGGATTGGAGAGCGAGCAGCGCCTAGCTGCATTGTGCAGGGTGTTTCTGAGAGCTCTGTCCTCACGCAGAAGTGAGTGGACAGCACCCATCTAGGACCCAGCCCGTCCCTGCCCCCTTCTCTGGCTCCTCTGTGCCCGGGGACCTGCTCCTCACAGCCTTGCCCATATCACTCACCGAGACTACTTTAATCACAGTCAGCAGTGACTCCCAGCTGCCCATCCATTCTGGGTCATCTCACATTGAACCTGTCACCAGCCTTGTCATCACATTTAATCCCGGTCCTCAGAGCACTTCAGAGCTCCACGGTGACCTCTTTGAATGCTGCCCCATCCCAGAGCACGGAGCTGCACCCTGTGGGAACCGAGCATGGCCTGAGACTAAGCCCTGGGTTGGGAGGAAACAGTTATTTTTAATGGCGTGAGCTGGAGAAGTCTGTTCTGCCTGATCCCAGCAGCTGCCTTCCCAGACCTCCGGGGCCCTTGCACAGCCCTCATCCTGCTCTTTATGAAAAAACCCGCCAGTAGTTGGAAGCTTATTGTTGTGAGTGCGTGCGTGTGAGAGCAGAGCCAGAGAGAACCGGGAGGGACGAGTCACATCAGCGGCCTGGTCCCCAGGTTGCTGGCCCTGCATTTTGAGCACAGGTGCGGCCCAGGGGAGGGTGAGGGTATGGCTCTATATAAGGAGGCACTACAGAAACATGCCAGGCGCTGGGCGAGTTCTCTCCTCCCAGTAACCCTGGGCAGGCCTGGATCAAGGTCATGAGGTCACCTCCAGCCAAAAGGATGTTTTCCTCCAGCTTTTCTGGGCATCCTTGCATTTCCAGAAGGAAATGCGTTTCACTTTGCCTTAGCAGTTGGGGGAGGCATCTTGCATGCCCCGTTCTCATACTTTATTCTTGCCGTGCCTGTGTCTGTGTTTTGATGATTTTTAAAAACCTTCCCAGAAAGAAGATTGGCCCATGCACAAGCTAGAATGTTCTCCCATGGTCGTTTTTGGAGAAAATTGGAATCCCTCAGAGACTGTAAGGCTGACAGCAAGGATTCTGGCCAAACAGGTAAGGAAACACGATTGTATTCAAGTGCATTTTATTTATTTTTTTCCATAAATTACAGGAAAATGTGTGTCTGGCCTCTGGCAGGGATGTTCTGTGCCATGTTTTGACTCCCTTCCTGTTCAGCCCTGTAGCCCGGATGGGAGAGACGCTCCCTGTGGACCTCTCCAAGGTCCGAGCTGGGCCATGAGGACGTTGCCTGAGCCGGGCCTGTTCCATCCTAGACGTCTTTAGGGTCAGGGATGGCCAAGCTTTCCTTCCTCGCGCAGAGTGCACGCTGTCCGCCTGGCTTGGGCTCGCTCTGCTCTGCTCTGCTTGCTTTCTCACTGGTGCACAGACAGACAAGGCATTGGAAGGAGGAGCCAGGGTGCCGGCTGGAGTTAAGAGGAGACAGAACGGAGAAGAGGAAACTGAGGCAAGAGGGGAGGGGAAGAGAGAAGGAAAGAACAAGTAATGGGCAGAGACGGTGCGGGACTGAGATTCTTGGGCCCTTTCTTGGGCCCTTTTTAGTTGCACAGTAACTGGACACCTGATTTCCAGAGGCCAGAAACCAAGTGGGACAGGAAGATACCCAGAGATAGGGGTGGTGAACCCATGGCACGAGTGCCACGGTGGACACACGGAGCCCTCTCTGTTAGGGCGCAGGCCACACAGCCTCAGCAGCCAAGCTTTTTGGTTGTTTTTCTAAACCGAAACCTCAGTGTTCAGGTTGAATGGCAGTGTTGGCACGTGTGCTAAATAAGTGGGTTTGGGGCTACAGTCTGGGTGCTTGTCTCCAAAAGGTTTGCCATCACTGGCCTAGAACTTGGCCTCAGAATCCGTGCTCCGTGTTGGTAGAGAAATTGGCGGCCAGGCCTCTTTTAAAGCTGAACTGTCACCTGCTTCCTTCCCTCCCACCTCCATTTGTCTTTTTTTATAAGTCTAAGCCAGATGTGATCGGAAGGACCCTCAGGTGTCTGTATCCCCAGAGTTAAACCACTGCAGTTCCACACACACACGCATGGAAACCTTCCTGCCCTACTGGGCTCTGGTGGGATCAGATGATGCAGAGAGAGACCTGTCTGCCCGCTCAGGATGATGACAGCCATTCCAGGGTGTCCACGTAGCCACACTGGAGCACCCTAGGGAAATTATCTCTCAGTTCACACGGAGTAGCTGGGTGGAGGAAAAGGCTACCTAGAAAAAGCCTACAGGAATGGTGCGACTGGACGTGTTGACAAAGGGGTGTCACATAGCAGTGGGTAATTCACTGTGTATGAGGACGGGAGACCTGCCTTCCAGGTCTCTCCTGTCCCCTGACTCGGTGGCAGTGTTGGTGGTGTTGGGTCACACTCTTGGGAGAGGCTGAGTACTTCCTGGCCCAGATGCGTCTCCAGGCTGGATGATTTATTAAGCCTAAGCGTAGGACATCCTGTGAATGAAAGATTTCTGCTCCCAGAAAGAGCTGTTGAAATGTGTGGACACCAGGCGGTAGCCTCGAATGTCGTAGGAGTTTACACTGGTCTCATTCAGGCTTTATTATAATTACGACTACTACTAATAGTCTCTGAAATGAAAAGTTACCTGACCAGGGTCTTTCATCTCTATAGGACTCGATGATTAAAAACCCCGACTATTTGTATTCTAGTAGCTTTCGAAGGGTAAGGGGAAACAGGCTACCAAATTACCAAGGGGAGCTTAACATGTTAACTAGGGAGGTGAATGCACCCCGCAAGGCCACCTGTATCCCCAAATTGAATAGCCAGATTACAAAGCCGGGGCCTCGGGCCAGCTCCGGAGCGCTGCGTTTGAACTCTTGTCAACACCAAGTTTATTCAAGTTCTCAAAGCCTGGCGGGTTTACTATTGTAAGCTGCTCTCGGGGCGTCCAGAACAAAGCTGGCAACACGTTTCAAGGGAATCTGGGCTCACAGAGACAGCCCAAAGTGTTCTTTTTGAAACCCAGAATTTGAGATCATTTTACTGATGCTTAAGGAAAGTGTCAAATGGATGGGGGGTTGGATTTTGTTCCTTTTTAGAAGGAGAAATAATAAATAGGGTCTACGTCTGCAGACCGGGCCTTTTAAATGAAGGACCCTAGAAAGTTGTTTTCCTGTCCTGTTCTTTCCGATAACGAGCATCTCTGTGCTTTCTGTGTGCGTGGTAGTCTCAGGATGTCGGGAATCCAGTGGGCTCTGCACAAAGCTTTGAAAGGTGCCCTTCGGAGGTGGATGCTGGGCAGATACTCAGCCCTAGAGGTGCCTCCTCGGGCAGCTGTATTTCCTTCCTTGACAGTGGTCGCTTTTTCTTCGTGTTGATTCACAGCGAAAGCATTGCCTTCTACCCTGGCTGTTAACATCTGTGTCTGTGTGATTTCTTCCCCAATTACTAGAAAATCCACCCAGAGAGAACGCCTTCTGAGATGTTGTTAGCTGTGAAGGAGTTTGAATCACGTAAGTCTTTGTGTGTAGGGCTGGGCTGTTACTGTAGTCATGGATTTAATGTGGATGAGACAGGACGGAGGAAAGGAAGGAAGGAGTGGCCCGTTTTCTTCTTTTCTTCTTGGGGATGCTGATTTTTTTCCATTATCAACCTTCTATTGACTGGGTGCTGTTTTTTTTTTGGTCTTTTTCATTTTTACCGGTACCAGGGATCGAACTCACGACCACCTGCTTGCAAGGCAGGTGCTTATGCCACTGAGCTAAATCCCCAGCCCCTGACTGGGTGCTGTTTTGAAAACTGCTTTGAACTTGCCCCCGAGTTGACAAGTTCATTGGGGTAACTAAGGGGGCGCAGAAGTGCATTCTAGCCCTCGCCTTTGGGGTCCCCAAGCATGCTGTGTGTCTCTGGATCTTGGCAGGATTGCAGCCCTGGGGACAGTGGATATTCTTCCTGAAAGGTGCTAAATCGGGCCACTCTGTGGCCTTGCTGCCACAGATCCCAAGGACCCCTGGGCCCCTTGAGCAGACAACAGCTGGCGGTCAGTCCCTGCCCTTGGTGCCAGGGGTCAGTGGAAAAGTCATGTCCTGAATGACCTCTGGTGGGTAGAGGGCAGGCTTGCTTTCCCTAGGGTTTGTCTGTTAGACTGAGCAGTGGGGAAAATGTTCCTTCCCATGCACCATGTCACTCACCATGAGAGGACACAGCTGGCACCTAGTGGGGGGCTTCTCCAGGGTGAGCTGCGCCTGTGTGTCTACAGATCTGGACAAGTTGGACAACGAGAAGAAGGATTTGATTCAGAGCGACATTGCCATGCTTCACCAGTTCTACTCCAAGCACCTCGAGTTCCCCGACCACGACAGCCTGGTGGTGCTGTTTGCACAGGTGAGACAAGGCGCGGTGTCCTCCCACACACACACCCCTCCCCAGCAGCATGGGGATATTGCCCAGCCGAGGCCTTGAACCTGCTGGACCCTGGGAGGCCACAGCTGTGCTGGGTGACCTGTGGATCCGGCTCCTCCGAGTACCGGCAGCTGAGGATGAGGTGAAGGAAATCAAAGCATTCCTGAAGCCCGGTGGAGGCCCCGCGCCCAGGCGCACACTGAGTTCTTTTGCAGGTTCCTGCGCTCTTAGCTGCTCGCCTGTGAAACCTGCTCTGACCTAGCCGTGCTGAGAAGTGGGGGCACCAAGTTACCCAGAAAAAGGTCCCCTCGGAAGCCCACAGGGGACAGAGAGGAGCCCGCTGGGTGCAGGGGCCCCAGGGCGTCCTCAGAGAGGCAGACATAGTGAAAAATGAGAGGGGTTTCTAGAAAAGAGCAGCCCAGAAGTAAGGAGCAGACTAGACGGAGGCCATCCATCGGAAGGGCTGAGGCCGGAGTGCTGTGTCAGGACCTTCTGCCACCCTGGCTGGCTTGGGTTTCTCTTCAAGGGCTTCCCACTCTGTGCTGGGCGCACGTGATTTCCCCCCACGAGTGAGGACGTGAATATGGTCCCATGGGCATTAGCAGCTGCCTGCCCGGCTGGAACTGTGGGTGTCAGATGCACTGAACAGCCTTGCACATTTCTGGCTGAGGATAGAATATGCCTCACTTACGTATCCTTTGACCCACTGGTTCCATTTCCAGGAATCTGTCCTTAGCAGAGGCGCAGGGGTTAGGGGCTGAGATTCACATGCATGCTGTTTATTAGAGGGTTCTTCTAAAAGAGAAGAGGAGGAGGCAGGGAGGAGGGAAGGGGGAAAACAAAATATTGTAAGTGGCCAGCAGTAGGCATTTGGTTAAATAAATTACAGCAGAGTCCGTGGCAGGAGGTTCTGTGTTTCAAACACTGCCTGAAGATGCAGGGAATGAAGACTAGCTATAAAATCAGAACAGAGAGGGTATAAATATGAAAACATCCACACTCCAAAGATTGCACCAATGTTCACAGTTGGTTTCTTCTAAATTGCACAAAGTGCTTCCCTTCACTGGGTGATTTTACTGGATTTTCTACCAGGAACAATGTATACCTTTTACAAAGTACTTGAAGAAGCAGGTAGAAAAGCAAGTTTACAAATCACACACACACACACACACACACACACACACACACACACACAGCAAGAGGTGACTGTCACCCTTGAAAGATCCCCACAGTGATGGCTGAGTGGATACATCTCATCCACAAGGGAGCTGCGGCCGGGGAAAGTGGTCTTGTCAATGGATCACAGGCCCGAAGCAGAGGTTCGAGAAACCTTCCTGAGTTTTATGCTGTCCTGGATTTATGGCACATTTTCCTAAGCATCCTAATGTGGTAGATTTGCGAACATAGCAAATTAGCAAATTCTACTAATCTTTTTTTTTTTTTTTTTTTTTGAGAAACTAAGCCCATGATTTATTTTTCTAGATGGGATAGAAGCAATGAAAAAACTTTTTTCTTTTTCCTCCTTACCTCTTCCTCCTGTTCCACTTTTCCTCCCCCCTCCTCCTTCCCCTCTTCCCCATCCTGTCCCGCCCCCTCTCCCCTCCTCTTCTCTCTCCTCCTTCTCCTCCTCACTCTTCCCCTTCCTCTGTTTTTCATCTTTGCGGGAGACTGAACTCAGGGCCTGTGCATGCTAGACAATCAGTCTACCGCTGAGTTACATCCTCAGGCCTTTCTGTATTTTTTTGAGACAAGGACTTGCTGAGTTCCCTAGGCTGGCCTGGAACTTGTGATCCTCCTGCCTCGGCCTCCAGAGTAGCTGGGATTATAGGTGTGCCCCACTACACCTAGCAAAACTACCTTCGCTTTGGGTATGAAACAGTTAACTTTTCCTCTGTCATGGTAACCCATACTGACAGGACTTCTCCACATCGATGGGGTCAATGGGGAACCCTGCGTTTATAACAAAGCTTAAGATGTGATCCTACAAGCACAAGTGTATTTGTGCTCCAGCCAGTCAGTCTTTGAAGTCGGCACTTGCTCAGAAAACCTAGCTCATTTTGTGTCTAACTGAAAAATACACAAGCTATAGATAACTCATTCCCTTAGAGATCTGATATTCATCAAATCACAGTGTAGGTTCCAAGATTGTGTGTGCACACCCACCCGCCCTGTTCCACTTGTTCACCCATTTGAAAAGTAGATTTAGTGTCCAAAGCAGAGAAGAATGGGCTCCGTCCACTGTTGCCCTTGGCTCAGCCTCTCAGTCCTAGGCCTTCCTGGTCCACAGAGGCCACGCCACCAGCATTAGCTGATAGCCCAAGGCCACCGCACTCTGTCCACAGTGCCAAGGCGCATTCTGATTACTGAGTTTGAGCGTGGTAGGAAGGTGTGCAGCCTATATCTAGTCTCAGTGCTAATTAAAAGAAGAGCTTTCACAAAGCTCTCTCGCCTGACATGGCTTGACAGAGAAAAAGGACTGTGGCCTGTGCATCTTCCTTAATGTGAAATTTGCTTTTTTCCTTCAGGCAGAGCTCAGGAGGGAGGGCAAGCAGGCTGGAAGGGAACAGAGCTTATACAGAAGCCTTTGTATGTGAGAGGGGCCACGGAGGGGCTGCAGGTTGAAGCAGGCTGAAGCCTGAAGCATTCCAGAGTCCGGGGGCTCCCACAGGTGAGGGGTTTCAGAGGCCAAGGAGCAGGAACCTGGCACCCAAGGCAGCCTGTCTGTCCTTGTTCATTTTGATAATCATTGCTAAATTCTCTCATTCATTCATTCTGCAAACACTGGTCCTTGTGGGTACCAGAGATTGCTAAGGCTTGTTGGTATCCAGTGTGAGATTGTGTATGGGTCATTTGGTACCTGGCCACTAAATTTTGTTGAATGAATGAAAATCTGAATTTACTCACACCTAATGTTGGCTTGTGGCCACTGGTTAATGTCCCGGTGACAGAAGTGGTCAGGGTATTTGGAGTTGGCACAAAAATTTGTTTGCTAAATCTTAAAAATCCCCAATCCTTGGGGGTTTCAAAGGCTGAGTATTGTCATACTGGTCTCCTGTTACAAATAGTGCTCATAAAATCATCTGTAGCTCCTAGTTCAGCAGATCCCAAGGTTCCCCAGTCCTTGCCAACGTTCTTTAGGTAATGTTGCTTCATTAACATTTAGTAGAACGCTTTTTTGGTGTGAAGAAGCCAGGGTTTTCTGTCGGAAGATCCACGGGAATTTTGTCTCCTGTCCTGTGCTCACTGTTTTTGCATGTCTTTGTGTGGCCACTTAGCCACCTCCTGGTCTCAGTTTCCCCAGCCGTAGGATGGGCAGCTCCAGTGAGGCTGAGGGCGTTGTGGGTTGGTGAGGTGGTCAGTTGTACCGTCCAACCAGGGCCTGCCTCCTGGTAGGGGTGATCAGATGCTTGCTTCACAAGGCCAGGTATGGTGTCTCTGGGGCAGGAGGCAGCAGTGACATCATTAGCATCCAGCTGTCAGGTGCCTAGGAAGAGCACCCGCTGTGGTGACTCCCAGAAGGAGGCCCATGCTGGGCGCTGTGGCCTGCACCTGGGCCTCTCCATCAGCGCCCGTGAGGAAGGAGTTAGACTGCAGAGGTGGCATGGGTCACCCTCATTCAGCCTGCTCCCTCGGCTTCCACCCCAGCAGGTGGTGGTCACCCTGGGCATTTTCTAACTCAGCATTGATTTGAAAGGAGGGGAAAGTGGCCGAGACATGAAAGGAGCCACTTCCCGGCCTCAGGGCCTGGTTCCTCTGACCCTCAGCGGGAGGGGCAGCAATCAGATGAGATGAATGAGGGTTTTCTGAGTTGCCAACCTCACCTCCAAGACCAGCATGGGGTTCAGGGGCTTCTTTGTTGAAGGGCGGATGACCCGACCCGGTGATGGGTTCCTGTCACACACGGAGTTGTGGCATGACTGGGGTTGGACTCCAAGCACCCAACCCCTGGTCTGCCGAGCCCCACGTGATGTGCACCCCCAATTTGGGGGACCCAGTCGTCCTTAGGCCTGCATGGGGGCGCTACACGATTGAGCTGACGAGGAAATTTTGTTTGAACAAGGGACATTACAACCCAAAGAAAAGGTTTTGAAACCACCAAACCGGAACATCTTTCTAGTTAACTTGTTAAAGGTCACAATTAAAGAAGTGATCTCTCGCCGGAGGGAAGCTGAAGCCTTTCTCTGTCTCTCTCTCCGATCCCTGCAGGTTAACTGTAATGGCTTCACCATTGAAGATGAAGAACTTTCTCATTTGGGATCAGCGATATTTCCTGAGTAGGTTGAGTCTGACTTCGTCTCTTTCCTTTGTACTTTTTTAACACTAATTTGATTTTCTTTTTGGATTTTTTATGTAACCCACCTATCGGCATGTGGCAGGCATGAAACGGCAAGTGAATTAAGACAGCTTTTTAATCTGCCACATTTCAAAATATTTCCCCTGCATTTGGGATCCAAAAGTAGTAGTTAAGGGAAAAGCTGCTTGTTACATCCTGCTAGGCGGAGAGCTGTTATTAAAGAATATTTTTTAGCATGCGCAGAAGGAACAGCCGTGCCCTGTCATGGGATTTGCCTTCTGCATGTTTGTAGCTCTGGAAATCTTAGGGTTGCTTGTGCTAAACACGGCATTAGCTGCAGACTTGTGTACAGAATATGTGAGCCTGTCTGGTTTTTTTGTGAAAACATCAATATAAACTGGTCGTGGTGGTGTGCTCATGTAATCCTAGCACTTGGGAGGCTGAGGCAGGAGGATTGTTGCAAGTTCAAGACCAGCCTGGGCTACAGAGTGAGCTCAAGGCCAGGCCACCCTGCACTGCATAGAAGACTCTGTCTCAACAAGACCAAAAAGAGAGAAAAAGTATCAACATAAAAACTGAGTAGTTTGGGCGAGATTATGCTACAGCTGTGAGCTAGGGGAACACTGGAAAAACCTAGCCTATTTTTCTCTCTCCTTTAGGAACATTCAGAGAAATTGTAAAAAGCTACCCAAATGCGGTTGTGGAATGGAGGATTTTTTTTCTTTCCTTTCCCAGTTCACAGAGCATTTGTGGAGTGAGAGAGGGTATTATTTTTAGGAGAATGAGACACGGAACAAAACTGTTTAAGGTTTTTTTCACTATATAAAAATTACTTGCATTGCACTGGCGAAAAGCCTACGAGGTAAAGCCCACCGCTGAGAGTGGGTTTTTGTGCAGGCAGCTGGGACACGAGCGGCTCCCCAGGTCAGCTGGGCCCTGGTCTCCCAGGGATGCCTGTTTCCGAAATAGCTCATTTCCTGGGCTCCTGTGGCCCTGGTCTTGAGCTGAGCTAATCCACAGGGAAAGGACACCCATCCTTAGTCTTCAGGGGTTCTGTGGAAGTCAGGAAACCTCTAATGTGCATACATTCACACGCTTCTGGTGTGTGAGTGTGTGCGTGTGTGTGTGCACATGTGTGAACTGCCAGACTGTGCGTCTCGCAGAAGGTGGAGGTCAGGAGGAGAATCGCCCCAGCTCTCTGGCTCAGAAGCTGCCCTATTAGCTTTCTAGAAGCAGAGGACGGGTGTGAGTGTGTATACCACGAGAGCTGCCCTCAGGGAGAGACCTCGCAGACCTGTGTTACAACTCAGGTGCCCAGTGTGCTCCGAGGCTTCTCTGCTCTCAGTACCCTAGAGACGGAAATCAAGTCTGAGATCAGTGGAGTTTGTGGCCAGCGTTGCCCACCACCCTGAGAGCGCGAGGTGGCTTAGGTGCCGATCCCTGCCCTCCTAACTTAGCCGGGTATGTGGTGGGACCGAGAAGTAGCCACACTCTGCAAGACCCTTGGAGAACTGTGCTGTCCCTTTTCTGTGAGCCTGTCCAGGCATTCCTTCACTAGATGCCCTGGATCTGACTTCTCCGCAGTGTGTCAGGAAGCCAGCTGGACCTGCTGGGCCGGGTGTATGCAGGGGTGGCTTTCCCCATGGACATAACCACCGTCTGGGGACTCGCTACCTGTTTGTCCTGGGCACACAGCTGCCCAGTTCTTCACACTGACCCCCAAGCACCCCAATCTCCATGGCCCCTTTTCTTTAGCATATTCTTGGAGTAAGCAGGAGAGGAGTTCTAGTGTTTGAGGGACCAGGAGGTGGCAGTGGCCCTCAGAGCAGTGACACAGGTGGGTGCACATGCCTCCAGGAGCATGAGCCCCAGTTTCCAGGCATTTTTAATTGGGGGAAAAATCCCCTTGGGCAGAAATCATGTTGGCATTGTGATTTCAAAGGCAGTGTTCTCAGAGATCAAGCACCACGTTCTCCCTGTACTTTAGAAATTTCTGTTCTCAGAACTTTGACCTTGATATAATCAGAAAGCTCAAAGCCCCTCACATGGGCGAATCTCTCTCTCCGTGCTGTCCCCGAAAAGCAGACGGTGAGCAGCAGGAACAGTAATGTCCCAATTTTCCAGACGAGGAAATTGAGGTGCAGGGAAACTCAGACGGGCTTCTCCGGGGCCCTGGGGGATCACAGGCTCTCACACACTTAGCAGCGGGTGTTTCTCTACATCTGAGGAAAGCACCCGAGAAATGAGCCACTCAGACTGACAGCAGCCCTCGGAGGGGGACCAGGTGTCCTCCCCGCTGTGCTGGGCAGTCACAGAGAGCACTGGAGACCGGGTATTGAGTCCTGGGCCTACCTGCGAGCAATTCGCCGCTCTGAATTGTGGATTTCATTTGTTAATACAGTTGAAGTTGAAGGTGATAGATATTATTCCAGATGCATACAGAACCATCTCAGAGCAGTCAGAGCTGCTGATACGTGTGTATGTGTGTGTGTGTGTGTGTGTGTGTGTGTGTATTTGATTGACTTACAAAGATTCAGTTCTTCTAACTAAGTGAACAAGTAGCTAAACAGCCGCCTACTGCCCGCCCACACCACACAGGGAACTGGGTTTTCTCTTCTGTTCGACAGCGTGGCACTGATGAATCATAGCTGCTGCCCCAATGTCATTGTGACCTACAAGGGGACGCTGGCGGAAGTGCGGGCTGTGCAGGAGATCCTCCCCGGGGAGGAGGTGAGTGAGGACCTGCCTTGCTGTGGCAGCGAGGGTTGAAGGGCTGGGACTCTGTCCCGTGGCTCAGCTGCCAGGGTGCAGAGCCCTGCAGGGGCTCACTGATCAGCTGAGTGGCTTGGGCTTAGTGTCCCACCCCAGGGCTTCTGCTGTCTCCTCCTTGGGTCAAGAAGCAGCAGGAGAGAATAAATTAGAGTTCAGCGTGTAGCAGGTATTTTAAGAGGAAGGAGGCTTCCCAAATGGCCAGACGGACACCGTGATTCCCCCTGGAGTCCGTGCGTTCTGTTGTCCATCGGTGGACCCCCAGCCCAGACAGGCCAAGCATTGTTGCCAGAAAGGGATCAGGCTGCCCAACCTCGGTGACACAGGGTTTCACATCCCATTCTAGGAGGCCGTCAGACGGCCCTTGTGTGACCCAGTGGGTGCGGTGGAGGCAGTGAACGGGCAGGAGTCCCCCCTCCCACCCTCCCTCTTGCATGTCCCCCGCTTCTCTCCTTCCTTTGTCTGCTGTCACTCTGTGATTGAACTAAGTGGATTTCTCTGCAAGGAGTTAACTAGACCCTGGCAGAACTGTGACCTGAAGTCTGATGTTCAGGGTGACCTTTACACCCCTGCTAGGGGCTCCATAACGGGGGTGTCCCACGGCGGGGTGCGGGAGGCTGCCCACATCTGCCGGTGTCACCATTAAAAGTTAATCGCAGCCTGCTGCAATAGAATCATCCGCCCCAGGCCTTGGGGCTGGCAACAGAGGCTGAGAGCTGGACCCGACCCTGGACTGGCCTTTGTCGCCATCTCGTGGAGGCTGCCATTCATTGCACTGCATCCCTCAGTCACTTTGAAGAGGAGGAGGTCCTGTGACTCGAAAGCTGGCTGAGTGCTTTCAGAACCTAGGTTGGGGTGGTCAATGCTCTGGGCACTGCTTGCCCTCCACCAGGTCCAGGAGACCCTGGCTGTCCCCACAGTCGTGATGTACGGGTGGCACTGCCTCAGTGTGATGCTGAGTCTGTTACAGAAAAGCAGGGCTGAGAGGACAGATGCCCCCAAGGTGGCACTGTCCACCTTCCCTGGGCCCTGGAGGCCAGGGTCATCCATGTCTCCTGGACCCTTTGCCAGGAGGAGGACGGGGACAACGACCCTGCCCACCTTGAGGGTCTCCCTGTCCCCTCACAGATGGGCCTGTGGAAAATGAACAATATGTCTCCGTGCAGCGGCCTCCTGCCCTGTCCTCCCCCCCTCCTCCGAGGTTTGCAGAGCCACCAGGGTGGCCGGGGTCAGTTTCCCCTAGTGGGCCACAGCGTCACCCTTTTGGGGCCCCGCAGGTGTTCACCAGCTATATCGACCTCCTGTACCCCACGGAGGACAGGAACGACCGGCTAAGGGACTCCTACTTCTTCACCTGCGAGTGCCAGGAGTGCACCACCCGCGACAAGGTGAGTACAGCCCGCGCAGCAGCAGTGCTGGCTCCCCCAGCACCTGGGCTGTGCCCTGCGTCGTCCAGGTAACTGGGACCTTGTCTGGACTACCCTGGGTTACCTGACTTGTCGGTTGGCGACACTCACTGCGAAGTTAGATTGCCCCGTCTGGAGGAAGCTCACCGCGCCAGCACTGGGTCCCTTGCTGGATTCCCTGTGCTGCAGACGCCTCCTCTGCCCCAACCCCGGAGGATGCTGCGTCGGGGGAGGGGGACTGACGCTGTGCATTGTGGGCATTTCCCTCAGGACAAGGCCAAGGTGGAGATCCGGAAGCTCAGCAACCCTCCAAAGGCGGAGGCCATCCGGGACATGGTGCGGTACGCACGCAATGTCATCGAGGAGTTCCGGAGAGCCAAGCACTACAAGTATATCCTGGCCGGGTGGGCAGAGCAGCGGGTGCAGCGGGTGAGGGCGGAAGGGAGGCTGGAGAGGCCGGCTCGGCTGCCTCCTTTTTTATTCTTAAATTTTCTTTCTTTATTTTTTGGTCTTTTTGAGACAGAGTCTCGCTATGCAGTTCAGGCTGGCCTTGAACTCACTTTGTAGCCCAGGCTGGCCTCGAACTGGTAAGGATCCTCCTGCCTCGGCCTCTTGAGTGCTGGAATTACAGGCGTGTGCCACCGGGCTGGTTTTTGGATTTTTTTTGAATTACAGTTTTAGATTGTGTGTGTGTGTGTGTGTGTGTGTGTGTGTTAGTGGGAATTGAACTCAGGACCTTGTACTTGCCAGGCAGGTGCTTAGGCCACTGGGCTACATCCCTGGCCTGTGGTGGCCTCTTATGATCTGTTCTTGTTCCCTGGTGCCTGCCAATGTGAGGAGGCTGACAGACTGGGAACCACCTGTTCTCATGGTGCCTGGTCCCTTGGGCCAGCCCAGTGCCCTCACACACCTCACTCTCCTGGCGTGGGATCTGGCCCCTCAGAATCCACCTCCTCCGCCCTGTGTATGCCTCCGCCCACCAACCCTGTGGGATCAGGAAGGGGCCTGGCTTTGTCCCCGGGGCAGATCACACAGGTCACGTTGCCTCACATGTGCCTGACCCTGGATCCCATCCCAGCACCGAGAAAGAAAAGGCTTTGTCTGGAGGACACGACTTCTATAAAAATGCTCCACTAGCTGGTCGTGGTGACACACAGGATTGGCATCCCAGAGCCCGGAGGCTGAGGCAGGAGGGTTGTAGATTCACACCTGGCCTGGTAACTTAGTGAGACCCTGTTTAAAAATAAATATAACAAGGGCGGGTCAGGAAGCCCAGTGGTTCATTCCCTAGTACTGGAGAGAAAAAAGGACAGAAAGGCCCCAGCGGAGGTGGTCAGGGCGTGGTGAGGAGGGTTTGAACTCAACTCAGGACTTGAGATTGCATCAGTGCTGTCCTAGCCCGGGGCCGGGTCTCTGGCCTTGTGTATCGGGTGAGATCTTTTGCCCGGCGTCTTCTACCTCCTTTCATGTTGGCTGTGTTCTCTGCGCCTCTCTGAGGGGCATCGGGAATGGGCGGCGGGGAGAAGGGCAACAGTCCAGCTCCCCCAGGTGGCCCGGCCGGCGGTTTCCTTGACTCCACAGCACCCCCTAGCGAGCTGCTGGAGATCTGCGAGCTGAGCCAGGAGAAGATGAGCGCTGTGTTCGAGGACAGCAATGTGTACATGCTGCACATGATGTACCAGGCCATGGGCGTGTGCCTGTACCTGCAGGACTGGGAGGGCGCCCTGAGGTACGGCCAGAAGATCATCAAGCCCTACAGGTGACTGCGCGCGCTCGCCCTGCACGCCGCGCGCTCAGCGCGACCAGGACCGCGGCTGCGTCTCCACATCTGCTTCGGAGGGGCGGATGTGGGGCACTGCTCCCCTGAGCCGGGTCTGCCTCCTCCGTCCACGGAGGAGCCCCCGGGGAGGCAAAGCGAGGTTACAGAGGGTGGCTGCTGGTGCTGCCGGGTTTGGGCTGTTGGTAAAAAGCCAGCTGTCTGCCGCCCCTTCTGTTGATTGCCATTAGGAGTTAATAAGCAGGGGACCCCAAAATAGGTTTCTGTGACTATCCCCCTCCCCATGCTTTTTTCACATTGCAGTCCTAGCTTTCCTTATAGGTGGTGACACCTAAGGGATCCAGAAAGATCTCACTGAATTGCTAAGTTGTCCGGGCTGGACAATTCTGCCTCAGCCTCCCAGCTAGCTGGAGGCTTTTAAAGGAGCCGTGACCACCACCCTAGCGAAGTTCAGGGTGGAGGCTGGGGGTGGATCCAGGGCCAGGCACGTGCACAAGGATTAGCCGTGCTGATCTAATGCCCTCCCCACCATTGGCATGAAACAGTTTGGGTTTGAATTTGTGACAGTGATGACTCAGCCCAGCGACGTGTCCCCTTCCGGGGCTTAGTAACCAGAAAGGCGGGCGTCAGAAGGAAGGCATGGTTTGGTCGTTGGGGTCTGATAAGCCGCTGGAGGGCTGGGCCCATGAACACTGTGCGTTTATAGGGTCAGCCCAAAACCAGGTGGGTTGAATCCTGGGTCCTGAACCTGTAAGTCCTTGTGGTCTAGAAGCACCCCAGGTGTCCCTCATGGGCCAAAGATTCCCTCAGTACCCCTCTGGGTCTAAGATTTGGGAGCACTGAGTGTGTGTCCAATCTGAGTATCTGCGACCACCCCTGCCTTACCTACCTGCGGTGCCCCCAGACAACCAGCAGGGGGAGCCCAAGGGGAGGCCAGCGCTCTGCCTGTGCCCGGGGAAAGCGTTTGCTTCATCCGATTGGGCTGCAGCGCTCCCTCCTTCCTGCCGGCCGGCCCTGGCCCTGCATCCCAGGCTTCCCATAGGAGCTCAGCGCGCCCGGCCTGTGCATAAAAGGCTTTACCGCCAGAGCTGCCTGTGGGCCGCGTCCACTGCCCTCTGCTGGACAATAGGGTCGGGGGTAGGGATCCTGGAAGAGCTGAGTGGGTCCCGAATCAGAGACCTGCTCCTTTGCTAAGCCAGTTTGCAGGCTGTGCTGCGGAACTTCCATCACAAGACACGTTGGGGCGTGGCTGTGTGCATGTATGTGCACACTCTGATCGGAGAGAATTGGCCTAATCACAGCTTATCAACAGGACATTTACTTTAAAAGCTATTTCCCAATCGGTGGTGCATTACTCTGGGAGGCTGAAGCAGGAGGATAGCAAATTTGGTTCCTGCTTGGGGCATTTAGTGAGACCCTACCTCCAAAACATATTTTTTAAGGGAAGGGCATGCTGAGGATGTAGCTCGATGTGGAGACCCTGAGCTGAGTCTTCAGTAGAAGAAAGATCACATCCCTGGCCTTGCCATGGGTCTACCTAAGAGAGACAGATCTGGGTTGGGGCCCAGTGGTGTTCGCAGAGGTTTCTATGCAGAATTCCTCCGGCAGTCTCGATGGGGTTTTTCCAAAACACAGAAACTGCCCTGGAGGCCTCTCAGCCGAGCCCTCCATGCCCTGCCCCAACCGGTGGGTGGGCTCTGCTCCCTGACGGGCACCTGCTATCTCTCTGCAGCAGGCACTACCCTCTGTACTCGCTCAACGTGGCCTCCATGTGGCTGAAGCTGGGTCGCCTCTACCTGGGCCTGGAGAACAGGGTTGCTGGTGAGAGAGCCCTCAGGAAGGTGCGTATTGGGCTGCAGGGGCAGGGTGTGGGGAGCTGGGCCTGTGCCTAGTCTACTTGACCGGAATGCAAGGGTGTGTGTGCAGAAGGCATTTACCCTAGCAGAAGGGTGGCTGTGATTGCGGCCCCTGCCATGACCAGCATCACCACACAGGGCAGTTGGGTAGGCTGTTGGCTGGGCTGGGAGGCTGAGGCAGGAGAATCTCCATGAGTTTAAGGCCAGCCTGAGCTACATAGCATACTCCTGTCTCAAAAAAAAAAAAGTTGGGAGCCTGGGGTATACAGTGGAGCCTTCATTCAAATTCATGCAAATAGGCCCTGCTAGGCAACACACTTGGACCGTGTAATCCTACCTACTTGGGAGGATGAAGCAGGAGGATCACAAGCTGTATGCCAGCCTAGGTGATTTTGTGAGACCAGATCTGAAAATATAAAAATAAAAAGGGCTGTAGGGGCAGCTCATTAGTAGACCACTTGCCTAGCATGCAGAGGCTTCAGTATTGCAATAAAGTGGGGAGTCTTTCAGAGCAGAACTCTCTGGCTTTTCTCAATCATGCATGCTAGGACCACGACCCCTGGGATGGGGGGAGCAGGACCTTGGGCAGCCATTGCTGCCAGGTTTGGTGGCTGCCCGTGGGCCCAGTCTGACCCTCACACCACGCAGGAGCTTGCACCGGCCCACGGGGCGTTGTTCTCATAGCTCCTTAGGCTATCTTCTGTATAGCAAAGATCAGGGGCATGTTACTGACTCCTGTAAATATTTTGGCCCCCCATGAGGCTCAGAGGCCCGGTGCTTCCTGCTCCCCAAACCTAGAGGAGATCGCTTAGGGAAGTGGGGGGCAGTTCAGACAGGAGGGTCAGGGCCCTGTGAGGACAGCAGTGTGAGGTCCACGTGACATTTTCTGTTCCGACTATGGAATTTGTTATCCAAGGTCACCTGTTTCTGGCCTCAGTGATGGCGGGTAAATCAGCCCACCAGGTCCCGTTGGAAAGAAATATCTTGAATATCTTGAATACTGGGGCGAGAGGCTGTTTCCCTGCATCCTTTCTCTAGCCTGCAGTGCCTGGATATCCTTGCAGAATGTCTTGCTCCACCTTATGTTGAGATGCTTGCTAAGTCTGTGCATAATCTTGTTTCCTTTTTGTCACAAGCCCAACGGGAGAGGGCGGGAAGAGGGGGACGACTCGAGGGCTGCGCCTGCTGTGGGGTCCGAGGCAGCTGGCAGTGGGCCCTCAACCACCTCTCTGTCCCCTAGGCCCTCGCCATCATGGAAGTGGCTCATGGCAAGGATCACCCCTACATCTCCGAGATCAAGCGGGAAATTGAAAGCCGCTGAGCCCCTGCCGCTTGCGGGTTTCTACTCGGCCTGCGAGGGACTCAAGCATCTCCGATCTTGCGCTGCCTGGAGGAGCCACGGTGCAGACGCCTGTTGCACGCCGATCCTGCCCTCCCCGATCCACCCTCAGCGGCCGTACTTCGTCCAGCCTGGCGTCAGATTAATTTTGGATGCTGGCTTTTTCCTGCGAGCTCATGGCATGGTCTCACACCTCACACAGCTGCGGTTACTTTTCCCTTCATGCCTATAGTAACGCTCCGGACAAACTCGAATGACGGCAGAGAATAAAAGCGATGCATTGGCTGCGTGGCTTCTTGGCGGGGTGTGTGTGGGTGTAGTGTGTGTGACAGAGGTCCCAGGCATCTCCGAGTGTGATGGGGCCTCTTCCTGCGGCAGGCCCTGGCCTGTGACAGGGCTCTGGAGCAGCACGTGGAGTGGAGGGCAGGCCCGGCTCGGGTGGGGGCCTGGTGGCCGGGGCGTCCTCTGCGCGCTGGAAGACACATCCGGGCTGGTCTCTCCTCTGTTGCCTGTCACCCAGGGGGCGCAGTGTCTGCACTGCGCACCTGGCTCCTCCCCCTGTTTCCTCTCTGTGAAAGCAGATTTTCCAGCTCCCATTCCGTGCATTGTTCTGTGCAGCGCTCTCCTTTTTTAGGAAAGGAAAAAAACCTTCTTTTTTCTCCTTGCCAACGCAGTGTTGTGGGCAAACAGCGACTGGTGCACGTGGCCGGCGGGAATGCGGCTTTTGCAGCCCCAGTCCTCTGCCCAGCGTGGATGGCTGGGACGCCGGTGTCGCCCCCTGTCTCCACGCACAAGCCCTGGCCAGCTGACCCTTCGCCACAGGCCTTTACTGAGCACTTACTGAGCACCTACTGACTGCAGAGCAGAGCGCCTCCATGGCGCAGGGGGAAGAAGGCTGCTGGGCCGGGCTCGGGGCTTCCAGGATGCTCGTGTACTGAAGGGCCCCTCTGAAACACCCGTGGATGACCATTTTATGGGGTGCGTAAAGCGTGTGAAACTGAGACTAAATTCCAATGCAAACGTAAGCGAGGACCGCGGGCTGTGCTTTACTCCTCCCTGGCGCCCCCTGGAGGCGAGGCCACTCCGCAGTTGCCGCGCGGGTTCCGGAGTCCTCCACGCGTGTTTCGCGTGGGCTTCTGCGCTTTTAGCGTCGCGGACTTGCTGCGTTTCCGTTAGGGAAGACTAACGCGGGGCACGCAGACTGCGCGATTCACCCATGGTTTGCGGACACGCGGTTTCCCCCAGCCAATGTTCTGGCAAGCAATGCCACTAGGGAGACCAGCCTGAATCCCAGAGCTCTGCAGATGGGCACAGGGGAGTGTAGTCCTAGAAATACAGCTCAAGGGGCCAATAGAACTCTTCTTAAAAACTCAAGGCTACAAAGTACCAGCCACTTAGGCCGAGTGTGGTAGTGCATGCTTGTAATCCCAGCGCTTGGGAAACTGAATCAGGAGGATTATTTCGAGTTCATGACCTGCCTGGGCTGCAAAGTGAGCTTAAGGTCGGCCTGAACTGGATGGTGAGACCAACCAACCAAATAGTCATTTTTCTCCTTGATAATACCATATCAATTTTTTAATATATCTAATGTGTGAGGCCAATCTAATATATGAGGTGTTTTGTTTCATAAGCATTCATCAGGGTGGGCACTTTGTGACTTAGAATCTTAGGTATTTATTTGGAAAGGGAGAGGCACTCACTGTGTAGCTCAGGCTGGCCTTGAACTCACAACAGCTCTCCTGCCTCAGCCTCCCGAGTGCTGGGATTACAGGTGTGCACTGTTGTACCTGGGTGGAAATTATGTCTGAGTTGACATTCATGGCTGGGGTATTTTATTCATATTTCTGATACCCAACTTAGGGAGGTGGTTGGTACAGGTATAACCAGTTCTCCACACCATGGACACCAGCTGTGCGGAACTGGGGTGCCCTGACCCCCATACACACGACCTACCACCAACTTCGCAAGGCCCCAGTCCTGTGCTCTGAAGCTTTTATGGTGGCCCTGTTACCTGGGATCGATTCAATCCCCAGCCTCTGGTGATCAGCTCCGCTCCAGCTCTCACTGTCCCTAGAGTCTGGGTGCAGGACAGAGAGCATTCAGCCTCAGTCTTGGAGAGAAGTCCCCAACCTAGGGCCACCCAGGAGTCTGTCAATGTTGCCTTAGGAGAGCCCAGGGTGCTGGGCCGCTCGCTCAGCAAAAGAGCTCTTCCTGGTTTTTCTCGCCCCTCTGTTCCTTTGTACACTACCATGGCGTACAGAACAGTTGCTCCCCTGCCAGCTTGGAAAGGTCTCATCACTGTGTGACTGTGGTTGCTTTTTGCAGTGAGTTCATCCCACTGACCTGCCTACTCTGGTGCCAGCTAGAATAGTTATGACAGCCCTGCAGGATTTTCAGTGTCTACAAGAGTTAGTTCTTTTGTGTGTTCCGAACATTTGCTGACAATTCTCCCACATTTCTCTCTCCAAAATAATTCCAGACATCTTTGGACTTGTCCTGTCCTCTGTCCCATCCACAGTGCAGTTGTGAGGTTCTTTTGATTGGTTTTTATGGAGACAGTCTCACTATATGGTCCAAGCTGGCTTTGAACTGTGTCGCCCAAGCTGGCCTCAAACTCAGCAATCCTCCTGCCTCAGCCTCCTGAGTGATGAGATTACAGGTGTTACCCACCACACCAACTGTTGTCTTACTTTTTTTCTGTGCAAACAATGAACCTTGAGTTTCTGAGTGTTCCTAGAGGAGGCTGTGGTGAGTCTATCCATCTGTCCAAGTTGTGCAAAGAATGTGAGTAGCTGTTGTATAAGTTCCACACAGCCCTCTTTCTCCTGAATGCTGGGCTTTTTGTAGCTGTTACAAACCAGTTTTCTTCCCCTGCTGTTTCTAAACTGTTAGGTCCGGTGAGGTTCCCCCCCCTACCCGCTTTTCTTTTGGCACCAGGAATCGAACTCAGGACCTCATGCTTGCCAGGCAGATCCTGTTCTGCTGAGCTGTATCCCCAGCCCCCAATGTTTTAATTAAACAAAATATAAAACCACCCAAAAGAGATGGGTTTGATCCTGCTTTTGTGTCCTTTTATTTGCATTTTAGTGTTAAGGTTTCCGGTTTCTGCTTCATGTATGTAATCCCAGCTTTGAGGATTCTTCTCCATGTTAAAATTTTTTCTTCCCAAGCTCAGCTCTAGTTCCTCTGGAGACTAATGGGTCTACTAACGGTCACTGCTTCCTCTCTAAATCACAGTTATGCACTCTGTTCTGTTCGTCAATCACAGGCAATAAAGTGGGTCTATCTGCTTGGCCCACAAAAGCTAAACTAACGAGTGTCTGTTCTTTTCTGTTCTACATGATCGTTCATTCACTGGTGCATTTTGTCTATAATCGCCCTTAACCTAAAGTAGCTTTTCTTTCACGAGTTATAATTCTTGTGTCTTACCTAGAATTGTTTCTGTGATTATCTTGTTTTTTCTTGTTGTTTCTGAGATGGGGTTCCACATGTAGTTCAAGCTGGCCTTGAACAAGTGACTGTCCTGCCTCAGCCTCCCAAATGCTGGGATTACACGTGTACAGCACCATACCTTGGCTGTGTGTCACGCGCTTTGCTAGCTGCCCCTCCCACACAGGGTGGCTGGCGTACAGCGTCCTTGTGGCCCTCTGCTGGGGACTGCGTTAGAGCTCTGCAGTGCCTGGGCACTGGTGTGGTGGGTGTGTGGGGGGGAAACACCAGTGGAGGGTGTCGCCCTGCTCCTTATCAAAGACAAAAGCAAGTGTCTGCCTGGTTGCAAGGGGTCTCCTTTCGGTGCCATGGCAGCTGAGGGGCTGAGCATGCAGGATGGAGCAGCAGCTTTCAGAGCGAGGTGAGCTGAGCTCTCACAGAGGTGGAAGACAAACACCAGCAGCCCGGAAGTTCTATGAGTTATCAACGTGCCGGGACAAAGACCCGCATCTCTGTGTTTCTCACCCATCTACCCTCACACCTCCCCAGTTCCCCGACAATGCTTTATTTAGGACTAAAAAGTGGCGGTAAGGAGGCTATAAAACCAGAAAGCAGACTTTCCTAGACACCTCCGTCCATGCAAAGAATCTTGCGAGCAAAAGGTACTGGTGCGCATTGTTAATGCAAACACACGCTAAAGACATCAGGTTTCACTGTTTTCTCTGAAAAACAAAAGGTTTATTGTGTATGCAAATCAATATATATCTCTTACAAAAAAAAGTTAGGATAAAGATCTCACATTTGTAAAGGCACATATGAAACATTTTACAGAAACAATGAGGGTAGTAAGGACTAAGACTGATACTGAAATAAGACTTTATAACATCGGACAGGAAACAGTGCAAAAAATACTGTCGAAGTCAGTTTTATACACCTCATCCGCGTGTATGAAACTGGTTAAGCGTCAGCTTATTTACTGATAAGGAATAGCACAGAGGACAGCATGCATAGTGTTACTTAAGGCTTTTCGTATCATCCTATCACCAAGTTGGAAGGGAGCCCACAAGTGCAGGTGACAGGCTCTAGAGAAAATCACCCCCACCTCCGGGAATATGGAAGGGAGCCCACAAGTGCAGGTGACAAGGCTCTAGAGAAAATCACCCCCACCTCCGGGAATATGCTGTCGCTTCTCTGTCCTTCCGTCCCCTCACGGTTGTTGTTTGGTGGTAAAGAGATTGGGCTTCCGTCTTGCGAAGTGGCAAGTGGTCACCTTGGGGAGGAGACTGCAATCTGGGGACTCCAACCCCTAATGCATTTTTAACAATAACATAAGGGGTGTGGTTACTCCTGTCAGTCAGCCTCCAAAACCAAGGAGCTCTCCCCACATGCAGGCTGTGTGGGAGCCAGGCGGCTACTGGAAGCTGGCCCGTGAGCCTAAAGAACCAACTGGTTCCTAAGTTTGGGTCTTGGATATCATTTCAAACCCAAACTGGTGCGAATTCTTTTTGAAGGATAGCAAACTTTGCAAATTTTTTTTACAAAACACAGACCAAGAAAAGCATCGAAATACTGAAGTATAGTACAACAGTACAGCGAAACGGACGAGACCGACTTCTCACTGAGTAACCCCAGCTACGGAAGGGTACACTTACAGAAAAGTCATCTGCACTGCAAACCTCCTCTTTCCACCCACCACACTGCAGGCGGGCTTGCTGGCTACTGAAGGCACAAAGACACACACGGGAAGCCATCGCTGAGGAACAGTGACCTTGCGGTGTCTAACAGTGGCAAGAAAGTCCGAAGGAAGTTGTGGTGGAATTTTACAAATGTTCAAGTTGAGAGAGAGAGAGGGCTCCATGCCACGGCTTCCAGTGGATGCCGCACGCTATGCAATGTATTCATCAGCTATGGGGGCAGCAGAAGAGGAGAAAACCCCGGAGAAATGGGAGGACACCAGACACCACCCTGAGTGCCACCTGGTTAAACGCAAAGCCGATTCCTGAGATTTTAGCAAAGCTTCCCCTAAAAGCACAGAAAGATGCCAGCTTCTCAGAGGAGGTGGCATTCACATTCCCTGGAGGACGGAGATGGGAAGGCAGGCAGACAGGTGGACAGTTCTTCCCTTCCGGTCTCCCTAGGTGGCCAGTCTGTGTGCAGAGGCCACCATGCAGGAAGAAGCTAGAAGACACTAGTCAGATTGCTCACGTCTACACCAGACCAAATGCAACCACTGCAAATCCACCTGACGCTGGTGCCAAGGCCCACGGCTGTGTTCAATCTAAGCACCACTGATTCCTACCTTTTCTTTCATTGCCTCTCATATTGAGGGACAGCTAAGTCTCCGTCAGGGAGCACAAAGATGGCTCAGGATGACTGCCTGGTTGTGGACAGGTTTCTTTCTATTTTGGTGGTGCTGGGGACTGAACCAGGGTCCGTGGACTGCGCTACACCCCATCTTTTTTATTTTCTCAGACAGCGTCACATAAGGCCCATCTTCCTGCCTCAGCCTGGCAGCATGCTGTGATGACAGGTGGGTGAGTGTCACCACGCCAGGCCCGCTGACAGCTTCCCAGCCACTCTCGTTGCTGCTATTCCCGATTACCAGCTTTCACTCCCTGAAATGTTAAAAACTTTTTGAAAAAGAAAATTAAAATTAGATTTCCTAACTGCACGTTTTGGAGAGGTGCGAGACAGTGACTCGCTATGACCAGGCTGAATTCGCTCACAGGGGCTACAGGACTAGGAGAGGGAAAGAAAGAGCACTGTGGACAGCTGAGACACAGAGTGGACAGAAGAGCATAGCCGGGGAAGCTGGGTGTGGTGATGCACCCCTGTAACTCCAGCACTCAGGAGGCTGAGGCAGGAGGATGAGTGGGAGTTCAAGGCCCACTGTCTCAAAAAGTAAAATAAAATAAAGAAGGAAGAAGTCACTAACCAACAACAGGATGGGTGCCACATCAACGCCACTGGCAACAAGACAGAACACAGGTGCGGAAGGCCGGAACCCCAACCACTTGAGGGTACTCCATGAGAGGCCCGAGGTGATTGCTTGGCACTCCCAGAAATTCCTGCTGCAAGGGGCTCACAGCATCACTCCGGCCTGTGGAGACCAACGAAGGGCAGAGTGAAACCAATGGTGGTGGAGCTGATCGTGCCCCCAACACGGTGGGCAGATGCAGGAAGCAGCTGGAAAAAGCCTGAGTACCTCGACAAAGCAGGACAGCGTCATCACAGTCAAAAGCAGTTGTTGGAGGCTGGGGCAGGAGAATTAATACTAGTTCTAGACCAGCTGGGCTACAAAGGGAGCTCAAGGCCAGCCTAAACTGCATAGCAAAGAACTTATCTCAAAAAGACCGAAAAAAGCAGCTGTTTTTCTCAACCCAGAATGACAAAATCTGTACAAGTAAAATTCTCTTTAAGCTCCTTGGAGGCTTATTAGTCAACATAATTAATTTGTGCCAAGAGAGATGCTCACACCTACGCCCTGCCTCAGCACTCGCTTGCACATAGAGAGCCTGGCATCCTCCTTCACGCTCATGGGAAACAAACAAACCACCTAGCATTTGTCATCCTTCACTAAGGCAGTGAGATCCTCTCCCTGTCTCTGCAGGGGCAGAGCTGGCTGTAGCTGTGACCCCGACCTGCAAATGCTGCCAGGGTCTCTTCCTGAAAGGTGGTATCTCCTTGGAACTCTCACCACCGATGGCAGCCCGGCTCTCTGTGTATCAGGGATGAAGACACAAGGGGCTGCAGGGGACGAGGACACACGCTTGGGGTCAACACAGCCCAGGGAGTGCAAATGAAAAGATGAAACATTTCAGCCGGGCACCTTCAAAACCAGAGGCCTGCAAATGTTTTGACAGCTTGTCTCAGAGATGGCATCTTTTATTTCTTCCATTTCTAATTTCTCGCTTAGAATCATACAAGCAGCAATAGACCCTGGCAGCCCTAGCTTCAGACTTGATACATCATCAGGAAATCATTTCCAAAAGCTCTAACTAGATAACTAATTTAATACACTTTGCTTCAAGGTTTATTCCTTGGCCTGCTTCCCAGATATAAAGCATCTCTGGATAATTATTATGCAGATGCCACTAAAAGGACTTAAGTGGCTGCTGCTAATTTACCAGGAGACAGGTTGACATTCGCTGGAGATGCAAAAAGGAATGTAAAATGTGCTAAAGAACCAGAAGCATTTTTAAAAAATGAAACGTATGGAATAACTTGAATGTTGGCCTTTGGGTTTTCATAGAAACTCTGGCTAGGAAGTTGGCCATCACACCCACTTCCTTCCTCCAGCCTGTGCTGTAAAGAACATTCTGGTAGCACAAGATGGGAGCAGTGGATGGGTCTGAAGGAGGCCCTGAAGGATGAGCCTCAAAGATGAATCATGTCTGCACGCTGCCACCAGAGCCACTGCACCACAGCCCACGGCGGGGCTCCGAGATGAAAGACCAAAATTGGCATGCCTCATCTACAATGAACTGGTGGCTGAGACTGACTGTTAGGCTATCCCTGGGACACAAAAGCCTCTAAGGAACTGGAAACAAAATCCTTTCAGCCTAGTGACAAGTGTTGCTTAGCACTGGGAATATATGTGCTACCCATGGTTTGCTTTCCAGAGCATACACCCAGATGCTGGCATTTACGAAGCTAGGCGAAATGATGCTCCTGAGCTGACTGTCACACCTGGAGGAGATGAGAGGGGAAGGGCTGCACTTCCAGACAGAAACTCGGTCTATACCTGCAGCACTGCCGCTGTGGCTGGCTGGAAGTGAAGCTGGGCTGAGTCCCTGGCAGAGGCACCTGTCCCTACGTATGGCTGCTGGTCACAGAGCCATGGTCTTTCCGCCTGATATGATGACACTCTGTTTCTGTCTTTTCAGCTCAGGAAAACAGAAAAAAACACACAGCCAGACAGTAATGGGGGAGCACACAGGACACCAACCTGAGTCAATTCTGAGAACAAAATCAGAATTTAAAAGTTGTGTTCAAAGAAAAAGAGATATGGAGAATGGAACCACCTCTCCCTGAAATTCACTGAGGAAGGAAGTCAAGGTAGACAAGGTTTCTCTGTGCTAAGCTAAGCAAGTCAGAAGGTTGCTGACCGGTGCAGTTGCAGCCAAGAGATAGGAACTGGGTTTCAAGCTGAGGGTCCCTGAAGGCCACCATCAAGCAGAGTGGGGAGGTCAGAAAGAAGGAAGCAGAGGAGCCGTGGGTGACACGTGCACCCTGAGTCCCTGAGAAGAGAAGAGGCAGACGTCGAGGTTAACTCCACTCCCACCAGAAGGCTGCGCGGAGCCAGGCTGGCCGGTGGCTCCTGGAAATCAGCGATCCCAGCTGTTTCCTTTCTAGCCTTCCCTCTGCCGGTGACTGACTGATGGGAAGACAGACACACCCAGCCCGAGACCTGCAGCCACCAGTGCCCCACAGGTCACTTTTAACTAAGGCCCAACTCCAAAGCCCTTGGCGGACTTGTCTTCCTCCTGCACTGGTCCACTCTCTGCTTTCAACCAGGGATGGAGTTATAGGGTAGTCCGACCCAGAGCACCATCTGGTGATCAGGGTGTGGGAACGAATGGGGGAAGCCCAGAGCCCAGACATCCCCAGAGCTGTGCAACTCTACAGCCTCAAAGGGATCTCCCACCTCTACCTTTAACTCAAGCTTGGGGCACTGGGGTACGGTGGTGGGAAAGAGGTTACTGAGGATGAATGCGGAGGAAAGACAGAAAGAAGAGAGGAAACTGTCTAAGCAAGCCTCCTGAGCCCCCAAGATAGACGGAACAGTGCTGCTTCCCCTGGGAAAGGTCACGGCTCTTTGCTTTCTAATTCATGATGAGTTCATTTTGTCACCATCTGTGATTTTGGACACGAGCGGTTACGCCAATGAATTGAGGTTGGATTAAAAATCTGGCAGCCACTTCCTTCTCTAGAAGAGATGTGTCCCTTGTGCCTTTGTCCCCACAGTGACCCCCCGGGCAACCTTCCTTCCTGATGGCTTACAATGCAGATCAGTCAAAAATGTGGTTCGAATGCAACGTACTATATTACTGTGAACGCCGCATTATAATAATTCATAAAAGTTACTCCAAAGAGGAAAAAATAAATTATCTCATATAAAATAATACACAATGTGGCCAGGTGACCTGGACTCCCATCTTCTGGGAGTTGGTGGCTTGCTGCTGCAGGCTCCCCGTCCCCGCTGTGGGACCGATGTCACATGGAGGGAACTTGGGTCCCTCTCTGAGCCCTGGCCGGGGCGGCTAAATGAGTCTGGAGTTCTGGAGAAACTGGATGAGGACCTGGTAGACAAACTTGTACTGGGCGATGGTCTGGATCATGAACATCCTTTGCTCCCTGAGCAGCTGCAGCATCACTGGGACTTCCACCTTCTGTAAGAGGACAGAAAAGGACAGAGACTGAGACAGGAAGCTCTCCCCGCTCCCTGGAGCCATTCCCTTCTCCTTCCTTCAGAAATCAGCCATTTGCTCCCTGACACAGCGCAGGCAGGCCCAGCATCAAACAAAGACACCAGCCCGGGGAGGAGCGGGTGGCCTGGTGTCACTGGATGAGATTTTACACAGGGTTTATTTGTTCTGCTAGACAGGACCTGTAGGCTTGGCTGCAGCCCTGCTCAGGATGGGCTGTAAGGCATCGCTGGGTCTCAGTTTTCTCATCTGTAAAATAAGGATCACGAGGCCCTCCCCCGCACCTGGCCCTTGTTGGGTGCACTTCCTCGGCAATGATGTGGGGATAGCAAGTGTCTGCCTTGCAGGTGCAAATGACAAAAGCACCCATAAGGCATTTGGGGCTGCATCTGGCACAGGATGGGTTTTTAATAAAAACAACTCATGTTCCTCACACTAACAACTATGGAGTTGAAGCAGCAGTGCCCTCCTGCCATCTCTTAGGGCTGGCACCATGATCAGGCAACGTATTTACCTATGAAGCTTTTACCACATCAGAGCACAGGCTCTGAACACCAGTTGCCTTGGGGGTGAGGCCTTTGATCAAAAATGCCTGGAGTATCAAACGAGATGCTGCAGGAGTCCTTTCAGGACAAAGCTCGGTGGAGCTCTGTGAAGGAAGCTAAGAGGTGGGGTCGTGGTGCCCAAGCCGGCTGGGGCCGTCCCAGCCCTCCTCCCTCATCACTGCACCCTCCTGGGCAGCAGGAGAGCTCCCAGCATCCCGAGTCATGCTGTCAGGCAGCCCTGATGTCCTGAATCCATTCAAAGTGTTATATGGCAATTTCTGTCCAATACAAACATCACGCTGTGCCCCTGTCCACCTCACCCTCCAGATCTGACACTGTGTGACTCCGGGCTCTTTCCCCAGGTCGGAGTGAAAGGTAAATATTTTGAAATGATTCAAGGCACTGAGAGGCAGCCACACAACAGCACAAACAAAGACACTCCATAAAGAGGACTTCCAGAACCGCTTCAGGGATCGGCGTATGTGAAGCCAGGGGCAGGATTCTGGAGGGAACTGATGGCAATGTTGCTTTTTTATAGTAACTGATTTTTTAAAAAAGTTACTCTTTTTTTAAAATCTTATCTATTCTAAAGCCAGCTGTGGAAACAAGGCAGGAATACCTGGAAGGGACAGAAATGGGGCACATAACTTTATACTCATTATCAAAAATCTGTTTCAAGAACGAACTAAACATTTTCTGGTCTCTCTACCACCAGAGGCTGGAATCTAACCAGCCAGGCCTGATATGCATCTGGGCAAAGCACAGGAGCTTCCTTATCACCATCTTCCAACAGCAACTGTGGGAAAAGCGACCCATGAGGCTGGGGGAAAGGAAGTGAGCACTATGAGTCACCTCGCTATCTCTGCACACCCACGGGAACACAAGTCCCTTCCGGACTGATCACAAAGCAGCAAAGGCCGCTCTGGCATGCAGTGGGCACGGAGAGGATTCAGGCACTTGGAGCCTTCACCAAGTCCCAGCAAGGTGCTGCTGGCCCAAACCCCCCCACCCGAGGCTGGCCCCAGTATGTGCTCCCGTAACATCTGGCCAGCAAAGGATCAAGGCTCTGGAACCCCAAGGACTCGGAATGGAACCATCGCTCAAGCCAGACGAGAGACTGAGCCTCTGAAACTACAAAGGGTGTGGGAGACACAGGAAGTGTGGGTCAGGAAGGGAGAAGAGGAGACACTGGTCCAGAAGTGGTGCAAGAGGAAGAAAAGATCAGGACTGGGCAGCGATGATGAGGTCCCCTTTCACCTCCAGGCCACTGGTCCCAGCAGTGTGGGCTGGGACAGCGCAGGGTGCTGCCTCTTCCTGTTCCTTCCAAACAGTAGGGGGATATGGATTCGAGGCTCTCTGTAGCAAGGACATCATGACACATCTTGGAGCAGCTGCGCTCATGGGAGCTGATGCTCAAGAAATCCCAGGTGAGACCAAGTGGTAAAAAAAACAAAAACTAGAAAAGACACCTGAATTTCTGCTCTGTCAATTCAACTAGTTCCATAATGAGCATTTTGCTTATTTACAAGTTTTGGAGAGTTCTGTTTTGTTTAAACCTTAAGCTACAGCTAGCAATACCCCCTGCTTCTACTGCGCAGTGGAAAGTAGACTAAAAGTTTCCAAATTTAACTTTCCAGGCAGGAGTTTTTAAAAAACCCTTTGAACATGTTTAAAGTGAGCATTTATTCTTTTCCTGAGAGTTCCAACATGATGGACTTCCTAGGGTAAAATTTCATCTTCTGAACCCCGAGGGTGCTGGGCAGATACATATCCTGGTCTAGGGAGCCCCATTCTGACACTCTGCCGTTTACCCCAAACCATGACAAGCATTTCCTGTCCAACATCCTCGCCATGGCACTGCAGAATGAAGGTGGGAAACACTGTGACAGGAGTTGGGAGACCTTGCACCCAGCCTGCACACTGCTGCCCGAGAGCCACAGGACATGAAAAGAGTCACACAACTGTCTCTGAGCCTCTGTCTCCTCATCTCTAAAGCAAGAGCCACCTGTGCCCCATGTCTCACCGAGACAGAGCTGAGAGCCAAGTAGGAGGAACGCACAGACATCCTCTAAAGAGCCCTCACAGCACGGGGCCGGGCCCAGATGAGGCAGGGAACAGGCCTAGGATGTACAGAGTCCTGAGTCTGATTCCCCAGCAATGCACAAAGAAAATCTCAAAACCAAAACCTGGAACCTGAAGAGAAGGCAGAACTGGTCTGCAGCCTGTGACTGTGGTTTATGTCTCTCAGTGCAACTCCCTTGCCATGCAGCAGGCAGCAGATGCCATCCAGCAAAGCACAAGCTCAGGGCAGAGCTGTGACACCCACCACGGATGCCCACGTGGAGTTGTCTGCCCTGCTCTCTGCACCCCAGCAACCTGGACCACAGCAAGGACTCCTTTTAGTCGAAACTCCACCCTGAAGAATGGAAAACAGTTCCCAAGAGCACACATTCTCACATGAGATGCAAGACTCATCTGAATTGTGCAGGACAGTACATCCCACTGAGACAGATTCTGCCCAATTGGGCCAGATGGTCTGCTTTGGGGAGGATATGCTGATCTTTGGGGTTCAGACTTTCTGAGCACTCCTGCACTGCTCTGGAGACTGCTGCCGAGCAGTGAGAAGCCAAACACCCAGAAGGCTGGAAATGTCACAGTCATCCTAGGAACCCAGAGCCTGGAAAACTCTGCTTAGGAGTGTGGAAATGAAGCCCTGAACATACATGACCAGGTGCAGGTGTGACCACAGTGCTGACCTGTTCCCTAGGTGGGGTCCTCTGGAACCAGGCAGGTGGATGGACTCACCTCGTTGTGCTCCAGGCAGTAGATCATCAGCTCCGAGAGGATGACCACGCCGGTCCTGCCCACGCCTGCACTACAGTGGACCACGATGGGAGGGGCCTGGTTCTTGGCACCTTCCAGCACGCTGTTGGTATGGCGACGCACAGACTGGATCTCCTCCAGGTAGGCTGCGGAACAAAATGCATTACCTTGTCACCAAATTCTATGTGGCTCCGCATACACTTTGGGGAAGGAGGGGTGAGCAGGACTGATGGTGAATTTCTTGTCTTTTTTAAAGTGACAATAATTTACAATTCTTACAAGACATTAATTATTTGGCTAGGACCTGCAGTCTTGGATCCTGAAAGGACCAGCTGGGAGTCAATTAGTCCAAGGGAGAATTTGTTCTTTAAATTAAACAGTTCTTTTTTAAAAAATTAAATTCTGTTTTCCCCTCTGCAAATCCCTAAGTCCCCCAAGCAGATGATTCTAGACATTACTTACAGCAACGTCTACTATTAACAGATTGGGATCAGAAGAGCAGCATGGTCCCCTTGAAATGCCCTCGTGTCAGAGCCAATTTCCGCTAGAGAGCAGCAGCCATCTGCCCCTTCCCTGCCCTCACAGAACCAGGGGATGTCAAAAGCCTGGACTTCATTTTTAGGGTTTAAAACAGACACCGAGGAGTGTGCATGTTAGCAGTGACTCCATGAGGTGACTGAACAGCCCAAGTTGAGCACTTCTTGGGGAGGAGGTGGGTGGGGTGTGGTCCCCCCAACCATTCCAACATCTGCCCACCCCCCAGGGGTCTTTGCACAACTCCACCTGGAAGCAAAAGAAAAATGACAGCAATGCAAGCCTCCGTGGCTTTCCACCATGATGATGGAGAACGGGAAAGTACACACAGGCCATCGCCAGAAAGCCCAGAACCAGAGAAAGTCAACTCATAATTTAGATTGTTGCAGTAGCTCGGGGGATAGACAGATTTAAAGGTTCTGGACCCACAGAAAACCTCATGCTCGGTGAACAATGCAAACAGGGAGAAATGCTCCAGCTATTGAAAGGGAAAAGGACAGTGGACCATTCTAGTCCTCCAAAAACATTCCTTTCTGTGCTTTCCTTTATATCCTCTCCAGTTACAAAATAATCTGAAGGAGTTTACCAAAGAGGCAGACAACTGTCACCTTTACGATGATGGCAGGCAGAAGAGTCCCAACACTGGCTATACTGACTGTGGCAGTGCCACCAGGAGCAATACTCAATGAGTGAGAACAAAAAAGAAAAGACCAGCCCTGAGATGTGCGGAGAGAGTAACTGTCGGGTACCAGCAGAAATGGCCTGCTATGTGCACGCTCCTTTTGCAATTTCTCCCCAAAGGAGAAAAGGGATCAGGTAACTGGATTTTTAAATTTTTATTTATTTATTTATTTATTTATTTATTTTGCCTGACAAAGAGGTCCCACACAGCACAGCCAGCTTTTCTCAAACTAAATTTCAAGAGGAAAAAGGAATGTTGGGCGTCTCAGCACATGGCGCTTTTCCAGTAGAGTTTTTAATAAAATGTAGAGAAATTGGAATGGACTGGGTGCTCCCTCTACTGATCACGCTAATAAAATTTCTGAAGCTGTAACTCAATGAAGGCTTCAGAAGCGTTGGAAGATAACCTGGTTCAGACACCTGGACCCAGGTAATGGAACTGAAACATGGGCAAAATCCTTAAAACCTACAAAGCTGCTAAGGTCAACACTTCTAAAGGCCTGCACACCATCATACCTGCTCTGAGTTTTGAGGAAATAACTCAGCAAGTCACTTTATATCCTTTGAAAATAGTCTTTGCATTTTTCAGCCACTTAGACTGGCTTTCAGTAAACTGGCTCTGGTTTAAAGCCCTAGCTACCCTTTCGACCACCTTGTAAAGTCCATTCTGCATCAGGGCTCTTTGCCAATCATCAAACCAACAGACTCCTAGCGTTTTTTGTTTTCTGCCTCTTGGAGAAAATTTGATTAAGTCAGTTAACAAAGGAGGATTCGAAAGGAAAAAAAGAGCACAGCAAGGAAAGAAAGTTCTGCAAAAGCCCCTGCGCTGCTCTCCTCTACACTTCAAGTGGACCCTGGGTAAAACCTGAACCCTCTCTCCCACTTAGAGCTAGAACAAAACAAAAAGATGAGAAGACAGAGGCAGAGAACCAGAGAGAGAGCGAGAGGGAGGAACAGAGAGAGACAAATGAATGCATTTGTCCTGGGAGCACATTTCAGCTTCACAAACTATAGGAGTCACCTGTCTCCTCCTCCTCAGACCCACGTGAGACAGCAGAGATTTCTGCTACAAGGGAATGCAGGGCTGGTGAGAGACGCAAGTCTTTGTGGAAAAGAAAAAATAGTGAGCTAGTTCTTATTCTGTTTCTTTGTGGGTTTTTCCTAATTGAAGAAAAACAGATGCAATGTAAAATTTACCATTCTAACCACTTTTAAGAGTACAACTGAGGGCCTGTTAGTATATCCATGATGCTATACAACCATGAGGCTGTCCATCCTTACAACTTTCTATTGTCCCAAGCAAAACCTGCGTACTCATGAAATAGTACATTCCTACCCCCCTTACCGCATCTGTAACCTCAATTCCGCTTTATGGCTTTCTGTCACGATTTGCCCACTCCAAATACCGGAGTGGGAGGAATCATGCAGTATTTGTGCGTTTCGAGCCTGGCTGGCTGCAGGAAGTGCAAAGTCTTCAAAGCTCATCCTTCCTGTCACTCACACCCTTCCCCAAGGGGTGACTGCTGCAGGGGAGTGGAACAGAGGAGGCTGCACAGGGCAGGGGGGGTTGGCGCACAACAGTACACCAGACTGGGAGCAGCCTGGCGACTCTGTTTTGGGGTGCCGAGACAGACAGGGTAAGGAGAGTGGGGTGCCACCGAGGGACATCCAGAGAGTTACTGGTTGGAGACTGGCCCCAGCCCACACATCCAGAGGCCAAGATCAGCCCTGCACCCAGGACAGGCGTGGGCTCTGCCTTGGGTACCAACACAATTTACTGGAGTTTTCTGTAGTAGTTTTGTTTTTCTTTTTTTTTGTCATTTAGGTGTTTGTTTGTTTTGTCTCACTGGTCTTTTTTTCTCTCCTCAATTATCTTCCTTGATTTACTGGTCTTTTCATATGCAGGAACACTGTCTCTGGGCTCTCTGGTTCATTTCAACATTCCTTTACTTTCTCCTCCACTCTTTCTCTCCTGTTCCCTTCTCAGTTTCGCAAAGCCTGGGCAGTCATCCCCTGTCCTCCAGCCTTGCTTCTTCGGTATTTCTCTTCCTTTACCTCTCTGCTGGTCCCCTATCCTTCTTAGCCCCCTGTCCAGGGTAAAATCCACCTATTAAGGGGAAACTCACTGCATACAAGCTCCCAGTTCATGCTGGATTTTGTTACGTAACTGTAGCTCTTGGTCCTTTGGTTAAAGGTACCAAATTAATAGTCACCATGGTTTGTCAGTTTCTAGACTGTGCCTGATGCTACTGTGATGGGTAAACACACTACCCTGGCCAGGGTGTCACACCTACAACTTGTAATCCATTGTTTTCCCTTGTACAACAACACTGTGATGGTCTGGGGTCATAATCACCACCATAGCCCAGCACAAAGGACTGGGTGCTGAGCCAAAAAGCAGTTTCTCACCCCAAGTAAACTGGGAAGGGAGTATCTTGGGACAAACACAGAGGCCAAAAGCCAGCCACACCCAGCAGACATCTCAGAGGACCAGACATTTCCGAGGGAAGCCTCGATACTGATGAAAAACCTATCTACCATACGCAATTCACAAGCATCAACACACACAAAAAAATTAAAACCTGAAAAAAATAGAAAATGACAAAGCACAGAGCAGTATGCTTCAGAGCAGATACTAATTAATGAGCAACTAATTTAGTTTCTCAGTCTTAGCTCATCTGCATAGAAGGTAAACAATCTATAATCAGTGGCATCTATTACTCTGCTCTGATTAACACAGTAATGAAAGGACAGATACTTCAATGTCATGAAACTTTTGCCACCGAAGAGAAAGCATCCCCTCTTCAGAAAGACTGAGGAAAAACACTTACACAAAAATCCTTGGACGTCCTCTGGGCAGCCGTGGTCTGGCCAGTCTGTATATTGCAAATGCCACACTGTCCTTTCCTGTCCGGACAAAAGGTGCTTGACCTTCAAGCCTGTGGTTGCATAGCAACCAGAATCGGTCCGGAACTTCGTGGTGACCTTGAACTTGCCATAGGTGGCCGAGCTGTGCTTGGAACCCAGTTTGGGCCAGTATCGGTGGCTTTTGTTTCGTCCACCTTCCTGAATCACACACAAAAGCAAAATGGGAAATTCAGCCAGGGGAAGTTCTGATTTTCTTTATCGTAAGATCTGAGATCAACAATGGGAAGTTCAGAGAAAAGCAAGTGTAAAGTGCAGAGGAGGACACACTGGGTGTATTCAACAAACAGAAGGTCCCCAGGAAAGCTACAGGGGACAAAGAAGCAGGAGGGGTCTCCCCACTGCAGAGGGTGAGGGGCTCACTTCCTGCACAATGGAAGTGAGAAAGTTCAACCTGCTTCTCCAACATCACCAATCTTTCTTCCTTCCTGGTTTGCTCTCTTCTTAAGATTCACATTGTCAATCATTACCCGTCTTGAACTCACTGGAATGGGTGAGGTGGGAAGCAAGGAAGGGCTGGTAGTGGAGGCGCTGGTGCGGGCAGGGATGGGTGGAGGGAGGCCCTGGGGCTGTTTCCAGGAGTTTCTGTGGGTAAACCAAGTGCGAAGGGTCACGCTGCACACCCTGGGTTTGGCTGACAGCGGCGCCTCAAGTCTCGAGCACAAAGCAGGCTTCCTGGAGATGCGGAATTTGTACTTCTGCTGAGTGCCTACATTGGCCAGCTGTCCCACAGATCTCTAGGCTGTCCCCTCTGCTCTGACACAGCACAAAAACCGTGTTTGGCTTGGCAAAGGAAGAAATGGAAAGAGGAGGGAGACGGCTCCGGGAACCATGGCTATAGTCCCCTTTTAGCTGATAAGCACCAGGGCAAGTGGGCTGGCCAGGCCTGAGCCACAAATGGATGTTGCTGGGCTCCATGCAGCCCCAGGTTCTCCAAATCCAGGAGAAACAAGGGGTGCTGGCCTCCGTGGTGGGAAGCAGGGCGGGGGCTAGTGGAACTCAAGTGTGTTTGTTTTTGGTTTTGTGTTGCTTTGTTTTCATAGTCATGCATAGCAATCCAAAGAAAAATGTTAGGAGTCCGGTGACACGGGAAGGAGAAAAAGGCACCACAATCAATGACCCAGGTGTAGGGGCGAGTAGGCTTCCTTAGAAGAGATGCATGCCAAAGGGGAAGGGCTCTGCAGGAACAGAGTGGGCAAGGGGAGGATGGGTGGCCGTGTCCTCGAACCCAGGGCCACCCCCGGTGGTCACCCTTTCCCAGAAGGTGGACGCGGCACGCACCACACCCCTTACCTCTTCTGCAGTCACCATGGCAATCACATTGACCCCCTGCTCCCATACCATCTGCCAGAAGTCATGGCACGTGTGCGGCAGGGGCCCCTGAGTCGCGATGTAGTGCCACTCGGCCCCAGCAACCACCACCTGCAACCAAGGAAGTATTGGCAAATGAGCCCAAGATCGAGAGGGTCCTGTGCAAACCCTTGCTCCTGTGCGGCCACCTTTGAATTGGGTGGTACGCATGGGCCCAATGGGTCAGTGACTGCCAGTGACATACTGCTGCACAGAGATGCTTTTTGCCACTCAAACCCATCCAAATGTATTAACCTTATCTGTGCTTGTCTGTAACTTGCAGTGTGTGAGAACTAATGCACATTAAAGACACACATACTGCATGCGCAGATCTACACAGCAGTGTCTGTGCCACCTCATGGGATTTATCTGTTACAGAAATGTTTGCTCTGCTGCACAGCATGGTGCACCCTGTGATTTGCCTTCTCCTCTCCATCCCAGTCTGTGTTACCAAAACACATAGATTTGATGATGACCATCAGGGTAGTTTTCAAATCCACCACTGCATAGTGATCGTGCCTTTTGGAGTAGCATCTTCTCCTGCACAGACCTCAAGGCTCAAAACCTCTGCTGCGACTACTGTTGTGTTGACACATTCTGCAGAGACCTTAGGAACCCACCCATCACTGGCATTTAGTGCTTCCTCAGTGTCACCCAGTGCAGAGCCGCAGCACTGAGATACTGAACTATAGGGTCGTGAGACGATTTGGGATAGTAACTTATGACTAGCTCTGGACCATCCTGGGAGGGTGAGTCTGCAGCTGGAAATACCAGCCGCAGGGAATCACAACCGTAAGCTGAGCCCCGGGTGCGGGGGTCATGCTAACAAGAGGAAAGGTGGCCTCTGCAGGGATTCTTCTGCCACTCCTGCACCTTGATTCGCAGAGAAAGGCCATCTTCTTACTGCTCGTGTATGGCAGAGCTCCAGAGAGTTCTAGGGCAATGATGCAATCACTGCTTGAAACTTTTTCCCTTTATTTATTTTATGAAACTTTAGAGTAACTCGGTTCAAGCAAGGCTAGTATCAGGGACTGTCTCGGTACATAAGACACGTTTAGGTCAAAGCTAGCAAGAAAAATCCATTTTCCAAGTACAGTGACAGAAACATTCATATATTCCCTGGCTAGGAATTCGGTTTATCTGTGGAACTGCAATTTTAAACATCAGACTCTTTGGCACCCAACACATAGGAGCCATAAATCCTTCCAGAGAATACTGCTGCCTGGGGCCTCCCTGCGGATTCCAAGTATTGACAGGAGTGAATTAAAAACGGCAGTAAAAACTCAACAACCAGCGCTACCTAGGTAGATTTCACAGATGTGAATCTACCACTAAAGCAAATAAATCTCCGCTCTGCGCTAACGGCTGCTGGGAACCCTGGGGAGGAAACTTTGGCAAAACACACAGCTCTACTCTGAAAACACAAGGACAAGTCCTTGCAAGCTCTAAGGTCTGTTAAATGCACCAACGTCTACCCTGGGTCCCAGTATGCACTGCAGGCCTCTGAGAACGAGCAGAAAGAGAGGCATCACACTTAACCATACCCCGCAGGGGCCGTTTGCATAGTGACAGCCTCTTCCAGGGCGCAGATGGAAAATGGGGGAAGAGATTTGGCCAAACCAGAAGGCCAGAAGAACACTGCTCGGTAAGATTTTTACAGATCCTGTATCAAGGAGCAGCTGCGGCCCCTGAATCTTGGAGCGCTCACTATTTCACAGTCTAAACTAAGCCCACCACCCACCCGTTCACTAAGAGCTCCCTGGGGTTCACATTTTTATTGTTTTGGTTCTCATTCTCAAAACCAAAAGCAAAAATGTAATCTATGATTCTTGGTCTTTCCTTCCAACAGTACCTTCTGATACTTAAAACCCCTCAACTTCAAACGCTGGCTGGGCTCGAGCTAAGCTCTGTAATAATAAAGTCTGAAATATCTGAACTACTTACAAAAACCTGATACCACCGATTCACTGCAAATCTTGCAAGATCTAGTACCAGGTTCACTTTTTTTTTTGTTTTTCTATCGGTACCAGGGATCGAACCCATGACTGCCTGCTTGCAAGGCAGGCGCTTATGCCGCTGAGCTAAATCCCCAGCCTCCAGGTTTACTTTTATGGTTTAAATTAGTCCACGTTTTTAAATGTTGTGCAAAACGGAATAACCTCTCAAATGAAGAAAACAGCCTTTGTTGTTATGGAACTGGATTAAAAACGCCAATGACCGTGCCACCTATGACTTCCAAGTCTCCACCACTCGCTAATTACTGGCTGACAGGGACAATCCTCTTTTCCCTGGGAGTTTAGTGAGGGCTGTCACTCAATGAGGGAAAACTCAAACTCTCAGCACTAACCAAGTTGGGAAACAGCTGATGTGAGGCCGAGAGCTGTTCTTTCTGCAAGGACAGATGACAGATGTCCGAGCATGGACTTCAAAAGCATCCCCTAGGGAACACAGGCCCGGAGGCACAGTTAGAGTCCCTGCTCCCTTTTTTTTTGAGACAGACCTGGGCATTGAACAAAGGCCCTTGCACATGTGTAGCACGTGCTGCATCACTGAGCTATACCCTGACCCTTTCCACTTTTTTAAAATTTTGAATTAGGGTCCCTCTAAATGGCTAAGCTGCATGGGCTGGTCTCCAGCTTGGCTTTTTCCTGCCTCAACCTTCTGCATAGCTGGATGACAGCGTGCACTTCACCTCTTCCGCTCCGCCTTGGGCCCTGAGCCCCCGGCCGCTCCCCTGCTCACCCTGATATGGGAGGCGTTGATGTAGCCGGTGCTGTTCTCTTTGGTCGGCACCAGCTCCACGCGGTTCTCCTCATACGGGACCACCTCCCGGACCCGGCTGCGCTCCGCATTCTCCGGCAGAGCTGCGGTGCTGCACACGCCATCTGCCTTCTTCTTTGGAATCTGCTCATACTCTGTGAACACCATGCCCTCTTCCAGTTTCTTCTTCAGGGTTCTGAACTGCAACACAAGTGAGCCTTCAGCTCTCGGCAGCATCTCACCCAAACACCCCAACGGGAGCCCCAGGTTTTCCTGGTATTTACAGTGCCGGGTGAGCCAGTCTCCTTATTAATCTGACCACCAGCTTTTCCTGTCTTTCCCTCATCACCCTGGCCGGAAATCGAATAAATCAGTGTGAGCTGAAACTTAATCGACACATTCGATATTTGTGCCCTACTTAAAGCCAGAATGATCAGACTGTGAATCTTCATTGGCTATACACAGCCTTTCTCAGGCATAGCTGCTTTTTATGAGATAAATTGTAAGTTAATACTGATCTGCAGGAGTGTAAGTCGGAGCACTGAACCCCACCCTCCCTACCTTCCTTCCCTGGTCAAACTAATTATAACAAGTTGTATTATTGGACCACATGATCCCGGTATACTATAGTCCCTCTGCATTCAGAGCAGTACTGAATACACACCGGTGAAAATCTAACTCCAAATGTTACTAGCATTCACTTACATTTATACAGCAGCCTCTTAACCTCCCAGCACCTTCCCTCACCGCTGACTCTGTCACACAGCTGTTTGCCTTTTAAAACCACGGTTCTCACAATCATCATCCCGACAACTGTGAATCAGCTGAGATTCACAGCTACCCAAGGGGACAGCACAGTAAATGGTCTCTATCGATGTCTGGATAAAAGAATCACTTCCTAAGAAATGGGAGCTCCCGACCATAGTCATAAAACTAGAGAGCTGGAGAAGTCATCTAGCATTCTCATCTTACAAAAACTCGAAATGAGCCAAGAGACATGGAGTCACTTGACTGGGTTCATACGCCTGTTGGTGGCTGATCCAAACAGCCAAGCATTGGCGCTTTGATTTGATAAAGCGGAAAGAAACATCCAATTTTGGAAAGAACTGATTTCATGCAACACACTTAGAGCAGGTCTCCGGACTCCGCAATTGAAGACTTCGTTCCTCAAATAAACAGGACTGGCATGATCTGGGCTGCGATGGAGGGATGAGATCCTGAGACCACCGAGAATGACGCATACATCATACATACCAGTCTGTCACTTACCCGCTCGTCTATGGGGATGCGGGTGGCATCATGGCGACAATCTTCCCGCCCCGTGACCCGGGCCACTGAGAGGCCGTTCAGCGCTGCCAACATCAGCGGTCTCTTCTGTGCCTCCAGGCCTGCCATCTTCTGCTTCTCTAGATTCTTGCAGCAAGAAAAGACACGTTCCCATTGTTTACAATGCCAGCAGAGGGCTGGAATGTGTTTTAATCTCCCCAAATCTGCAACTCCCTAGCCAAGGAATGCAGGCCATCCCTATGAGGAGGACAGTTGCAAGTTCTCCCTTTCTTCCCACGGTGCCTGAGAAGCCAGCACTTGCTGGACTCCTGCCTTTTTATTTGTAATTCATTCACTCATCAGATAAAGAGGAACAAACACACAGTGTACACAGGGCTCGTGAAAGGGGCGGGGGCAGGTACACACACTTTAGAAAAGATGGGTTACAGGAAGACCGGATAATAAAAGAGAAAGCCACACAAATAATCTGATCCAATCCAAAGATGGGTCTTTGCCATAGATGGCTGCAAAATCTTTGAAACTGTTGTGTTGGTCTTGGAGGGATGGAGGTGGGTGTATGACAGAAGAAATACTTCCTGGGCCTCCATCCTAAAGGTGCATATTTAATTTCTGGTCCCCATGCATGGATTGGGTCATCCCAAGAAGCAGAGTGATGTAGTATTCAGCAAACTCCTGGTCACATCCTGTCCTCGCCAGCACCTACGATCTGCACCTGGCTCAGTCACCCAGCTACTGTTCTCCTGCTGTCCTCAAAGCTGACAGAGGTATCAGCCCACTGAGAGCAGTTCCTAAAGATCATTTTATCTTGGGCGTGAGAGGGACTCTGGTAAGGACAGACAGAAGCGTGATCGGGGTTTGGTTTTGTTTTTCTTGCAGCATTGAGATTAAACCAACTGAGCCACATTCTCATCCCTTTTTATCTTGAGAAGGGATCTCACTGAGTTGCCCAGGATGACCGGAAACTAGGAATCCTCCTGCCTCAGGCTCCCACAGAGCTGGATTCTAGGCATGCACCACCATGCCTGGGGCTAGAAACTGAGTTTTACAGAGATTCTAATGGACACTGAAGTGCCAGCAGTCTGTAGCCCCTCCTGGGAAGGGTTTCTCTTAGTCCTCATTTCTATTCAAGCCAATGGAGACTTCTCTCTCATTCTGTCCTTTGTAGAGTTACATTCCAGGGAGGTGTCCCTCTGCAGCCCCGTGCTTGATCACACAAGATGGGCAGATCTTTCAACAGGAAAGGGCATGGTCAGCAGTGTCACCTACAATCCAAATGCACCTTTGGAATGGGGCATGCCCCAGGTTGTGGGTGATCCATCAGCAAACAGAGAAGCATCTCAGAGCTGGGTGAGCCCTGACCAGAGGGAGGAGCAGTCATAGACTTCCCGCTAATAGGAGCCTTACTCAAGGCAGCCCAGGGAGAGGTGTGGGGTTTACCTTTTCGGTTGATTGCTTAGTAGTAAAGCTAACTTCCCCCCAATACCTCTTAGTTCTAAGTTCCAAAAAAGCAAGAGTCTGGGGGAAATGATGCCGAGGTCCTCCTAGACCCCAAGGGTCCCCAACTGCACCTACGAGGGACAGGAACTCGCCTCTCTTTTGGAGAAGGATTCCTGTCTATCTGCCCACTGAAACCAAAACCCCAGGATCCATCACTGGCGGGCTCTAGCACGGGTAGAAAATACCTTTCTCCTCCGCAGTCCACTTCCAGGTGGAGGGCTGAGAGGTGACTTTAAGGCCCTCAAAGGAGGAATCAGCTGTCACCCCGCCAGGGCTCCAGAACACCAAGGCTGCCCTGGGGCAAATTCCCCCAGAGACCCCCCCATTTCACGCCCTTAAAGTTCCTTTGTTTTCCCACCCAGAGGAGAGCCAGCAGAGATGGGGGTGCCCTTAGGCTGAGGGCTGAGGTTCTACATTTAATATCCTGGGGTTCCTGGGCTCCATCCATAAGGTCAGGACTCTGGCTGAAGGTCAAAGCCTTGAGCTTGTGTGTCTGTGTGTGTGTGATTTGGAAAGAAACTCCACAGTTCCACTGTGTGTGTCTGGCTCTGTGATTTGGGAGGAAACTCCACAGGGAAAATGCAATAGACCTGGCGTATATGTCTTTGAAGTCGAGATGTAGGGTGAAGTTTGTGAGTTGCGGATGGAAAAGAGTATTAGAACCCCGGGTGTGGGGGAACCAGCATCGTGGTTTTGGCTTCAAATTCTGTGAATGTGGATAACAGAGAGAAAGGGAAAAGCCAGACTGAATGGAGGTTATGGGGCCACGTGGACCTTGCTAATCTCACACTTAGCAGGGGAAAGAGCTAAGGTTTTCCTTCCTGGCGGCCCAGGTACACCCTATGGTACCGCTTCGGGTTGCAAAAGTGGGCAAAGTTAATACAGGTTCCGAACTCAGGGTTGCCAGGCTTCTCCAAAACAGAGAGGCTGAGACTCCTTCTGAGTAACTAAGTAACAAAATTGTTACCCTTTAGGTATCTGATTAGGTTTCCCAGCCCTGCGACTCTGCTTCCTTAAAACTTGGTCACCACCTTGTTCTCTTCCCCTTTGGACTTAAAAATGGAGTCTCAGGAGGCCCAGCAAAGCCAACATTAAGCCCCAACCATTCTGGGGTTCCCAGGTGGTGGAGCAGGGAGAATAAAAAAAGAAGTCAACCTGGTCTTGTGAGTTACATAACTGAATGATTTTTTTTTTTTTTTTTTTGAGAGGAAGTGAATATTTCCAGGAAAATAGTAATGGAGGGTTTTGTTTTGGTGACACTGGGGATTGAACCCAGCACCTTTGCACTGAGCTACATCTCCGGCCCTTTTATTTATTTATTTTTTTTATGTTAAGACAGTGTCTCCCTATGCCTCTAGGTTGCCTACACTCATCTCAAATCTGTGATCCTCCTGCCTCAGCTTCTCACCTTGTAATGATGCTTTAAAAGCAGACCATTAGCAGATGAGTGAATTTTAAAAAATAGTATTTGCTATAAAGAACGACAAATCTGAGTCATACACAGGGAAATTCACACACCTTGAAACCATAATGGTAAGTGAAATAAATCAGACATACAAGCTTAACTATTGCATGGTTTGTCTCAGATGTGACACCCCAAGTATATAGAAATTAAAGAGTAAAATAAAAGTGAAATAAAAGGAAACAGAGGTGGATCTTTTTCAGATAGCAAAGGGATCAAGAGATGGTGGGAAAGGGTAGAGAGAGGAGGAGACATTAAGCGAATTAAGACATGTTAAGTACATGCACCGACTCCACAGGAGGAGTGTAACCATTACACACTGCAAAATGTACTGATAAAAGTTTGAAAATTCAATCAGAAAGAGACAAACCTGCCTGGCCTCTCCTGCTTGGGCAGAGGGTGGCGGGGAGGGGACACTTACCCTCAGCATCATCTCCCGTTCCACAATGCTGTCCTCCAGGGAGAACATTTCGGACACCGGCCTCTCCTTCACTGGCTCCTTCTTGACCCGCTCCTTCACACTGGTCAGGTCAGGCTCGGAGATGGACGGGCCCAGGGCAGTGCCATTGACGGCCAACTGGTCAGTCCGGGAGACGCTGAGCGCCTTGGCTGGACCTCCATGCCTCAGAACCCGGGCCCTGGAGGTGAGGGCGCCCTGGTCCTGCCTCAGTGCCCCATTGCTCACACTCTTCCTGGGCCCCGGGTACTCAGGTGGGGGCTTGTTGGGGATCCGTGCCAGGGCGGCCTGTAGCTGGGCACTGTACTGCACCTTCTCCTGCAGCGCGGGCATGGATGGGGCTGGGGCGGTCACAGGCGCCTCCTCCTCGTCCTCCTCATCCTCCTCATCCTCACTGCTGTGGATCAGCATGGTGGCATCGGACAGGGTCTTCTGGTGGTGGAACTGTGGCAGTGGAGTCACCTCCTCAGGCCGGCCCTGCTCCCGGAGCGTGTTGCGCCTCACCATGGGGCCATGCAGCGACTTCAGGGTCATAGCCTCCATGCCACGCACCATGCTGCTCATCACCTCCAGGCTGTGGCGCTTGGTGGCCAGGCCGTGGTGCCTGGGGGCCGGCAGGGGCTCGCTCACCTCCTGCAGGGACTGGTGCACCACGGGGGAGCTGTCCTCCTGGAACGTCTTCACGGACAGCTGCACCTTCCGGGTCACCAGGTCGGGGCTGCTGCCGCTCACATACCTATGGCGGTGGCTGGCCAGGTCCGGGGTGCTCGTGGCAGGACGTGGACGGGGGTAGGGTGGCGGCGGCCGGAAGAGATAGTTCCTGAGCATGTGGGCCGCGTGGTGGTAGCCCTGGGGCCCCTGCAGCTGCATGTTAGCCAGCTCCGGGGTGCTCACCGTGTGCGAGATGGTGCTGGCCCGGGGATTGCTGGGCACTGCGCCCCCCTTGGGGTTCATGTGGTCAGCTGGGCTGACCAGCGCATGGCCGTAGCCCCCCTGTGGGGCATAGGGTGTGGTGTAGGGGTGCCTGTCTCGCATCTCTGGCTGGCTGTACACTAGCTCCTCAGGCTGGCTGTAGGCGTGAGCATTGAGGATGCTGAGGTTCCGCAGGGACTGGCTCTGGCTGTCTCCAGGCACCACACCACCCCTCTTCATCTGCCGCATGACTGTCTCATAATCAGGGGTGGGCCGGTAGGACGGCACGATGATGGCACTGTGCCGATGGCTGGGGACGTAGTCGGCCCGCATGACGTCGCTCCCGGGGATACTGAGGTTGGAGGACACAGGAGAGGTCTGGATGAAGCTCTGCGGGCAGCCTAGGGAGTTGATGCTGTGGACACTGCACACGCTGCCGTTGGGGACGGTGCCATTCAGGTAGTTCAGGTCCAGGCTGTTGTGAGAATTGCAATACAAGGCCTCTTCGTTCCCGTGGAAAATGCTGTCTATAAGTCAAACACACACAGGAGCCTTCACACCAGCCGCTCTGCTAAAATCCCGCCCACATAACTCAAGGAAGTCACAAAAGGTGAAATCCCATGCCTGCCACTCACACATTCCACAGAACCACAGGTCGTATCTCAGATGACACAGAAGGAACCCTCTAGAGCCTACTGAGAAGCACAGGCCTAAACAAAGCTAGTTACGTGTGGCACAGCTCTCGACCTTGCCGTGAGCTTTGCTGTCATTTCCTCCTGTGCCTGGTTCAGCTGTAACAGACCAGATATGTGGGCCAGGAAGTCAAGAACTTCAGGGAAGCAGCCGATGTGAAATTACCCAGGATCTGGACTTGCTTTTGCTGACTACAAGAGACCAGTCCTTTTACCCAAGGGACCGCTCTGCAGTCATCAAGAAACAGCTAGGTTGGGTTATTCTCAGCAGTCATGAATGGAAGGCAAAATGGGGATCAAGGGTTCACTGAGCCTCTCCTGAAGTCTCCCCCAGCCATCAAGGGGCTCACTTCCAGTTCGCTCCAGACGTGCACTGTCCCTCTGCAGCCTCACACTTCAAGCAGGTCACCTCTAGCCAAAACACTTTTGTGTCCTGATCATGTTCATTTTATCTATTTCAGCAGGTGTAGGGCAGAAAGGGAAAATCAGATAAGGTAAAAACAGAGGCAGTGACAGCAAGTATTTGACTATTTGAAAGGAGGGGTGGGGGGTGGGGAGTCCAGATCTGATCAGAAGAGCCAGGCAGGAAAAACTAAGAGAACCCGGAGGCCAAGGTGCTACGCTTTATCTGCCTCCCAAAGGGGTTTGGTGCCTTCCCCTGGAAGCAGAGGAACACTGCTTATAAAATGCACTCCTGTCATAAATTACACAGAGTGGACGGTCTCGGTTCCCACACTCAAACTTTCCTAGCACAGACGACTTGAAATAGCCAGGAGGTGAGAACACAGGAACTCGTGATCCATTTACTGCAACATCAGCATCCAAGGCCTGTGCCACCTCGTCTCCTTTATTGACAAGGGACAGGTATCAGGATTCAGAAGTGTCACTGTCCACCTCTCTGTGTCATTTCTGTACCTGTGAGACAGCAGTGGAGACAGTACCTAGAATGTATTTTGAGGATGGAATCAGACGCAACCTAGCAAGTGCTCAGAGGGGCTGGCAGACGGCCACTGCTCTGGGACTGGTAATGCTCAGCACTGTCACTGCTGCTACTAATGGAGGGGCTCTTTCATGCATGGTTTTTCACAGGAGATGCTCTGGGAGGAAAGGAGGAATAAAACAGATTTTGTTTACTCCGAGAGGCAACCACTAATCGCACTGAGCTAAGAGGCTAGAGGGGGAGAGGAACCGAAAGATGAAAGAGCCTGGCCTGATTCTCTCAGTTGTCCTGGAGCCTGTGTTCTCTGTCACCGTGAGGCACCTGCTGTCACCAGCAATGAGGACAAGCGTGCTAAGGTGGGCTGTGTGGCCCCTGTCCTCCCCAGACCCACAGACAAAACAGAGTAGACAGGAACCTTCCCAGTGCCTTGGCCCTGGCCCTTTCGGGGGCAACCAATTTCGGGAGCTGTGTTTCTAGGGTAATCAATTTTTCTTCCAGGCTTCTCACAACCTGACACGCCTGGCTACTGTCACTCCATCAATGGCCACGCTCAAAGGAAAGCATTGCTGTCACTTGGGAAAAAGAAAAACTTGTGCCTCCTTCCTGGCGCCTGACTTTGCATTCCGAGGGGACAGGGCAGAGGCACGTTACCTTGTGACGTGTGCGTCTCGGAGTAGTGCTCGCCGCACTGGACGTGCATGGGAGGCAAGATGTACGGCTGCTGCCGGGGCTGGAAGAGAGGACACAGCAGGGCTGGGGAGGCCTGGCAGACGCTGCCCAGCACCAGCCCCACCGCCCTGGTCTCCGGAAGCCCCGATCCTCACTACACTCCTCTGCACCCACATCACACTGAGCTCAGGACTGAAGAAACATCAAGGGAGCCACGAGGAAGACAGCTCAGCATGGAAAGAGCAAGAGGCCACAGTGCAAAGCCTGGTGCAGCTATGCATCAACCGTGTCCTTGACAGCTGCCTTCTTAACAGGGGTAAACAGAACAGGGACTTAGGGGACCCAGCAAAGGAACAAAAAGGAAGCCTGCTTCATTCTACTCAAAACTGGCCCCTTCTGGGGCCACAAGCTTCTACGCATCAGCACAGACCCTGCCTCACAGGTCCACAGCAATGTCAAACAGGGACAGGGTCATCAGTGTCAGGCCAGGCCCAGTGATGAATGGACATAAAAATCCACAGTGACCCTGGAGCATGGGCCTGGGGTTCTCACAGTCACTGATTCCTCTCCATGCTGCACGAACAACGTGGAACGTGTATCACACAGGGAACACAGACTGAACACACTCACCCCAATGTTAAGACTCTCACGGGGAGCCACTGAGAGGCAACCCCAACATTGCCTGTGTGAGGGACAGCAATGCCTTGAGGGGAAGGAAAAACAAAACCAAGAACTATGACGGCTTCACCACTGGATGGGCAAAGGAATTACGCTGATTCCCAACTGTGATCAAGGGCTGGTTACTTAATTTAACTTCACTAGGTTTTGAGCTCCTGCCGATCAAATGAACAGGGATCCCTCCCCAACCTCAAACACCCACTTTATCCATGCATCAGGGTTCCAGGTAAGGAGACTCCAGCTCGTGAAAGTACACATAGATATAGCAGCTGGCAGGGCACCACTCAGGATGACTTCTACACTCCTACAGTTATGGGTGTGATTTTAAAAAGCAGTGCTTCCTGAGGAAGAGAACTTCACCAAAGGTGAGATCTAACTAGAGGTCAAAGCCAGCAGGAGCCCCAATTCCTCAGCATCTGGCATCAAAAGGGCAAATCAAGAAGGCAATGAAGACAAGGGGCACAAAACTTATAAGGAATCAATGGAAAAGAAATAAAAAATGAAATTAAATGCATCTCAGAGAAGCACTTGCTACGGAGAACAGGGAGATGCCCGTGCTGCTAAACTTTTCCAAGTGTTCTCTTGGCTGATTTTTGGGTTGTAAATTAGAAATAGTTTTCTTCTCCTTAACAAGACATAATTTAACTACACTGGTCCACTCCAGGGTGGCTGACTTTAAAGACTTTTTTTTAATAGTAAGGAGGAATTTGTACACAGGAACAGAAATACACGGCAAAGCAAAAATGGTTTATTACCTCCTTTTGCCTTTATTTTAGAAAAGAAATCCTTAAATGACTGTCTATGAGCTGGCCTAAATGTACAGGCCCAGGGTAAGAAGAACTAATCCTTGAGTACCTCTCGGGGATTCCCCTATTTACTGTATTTCTTTATCTATTCACAGATATTCTTCCATTTCTTTGCTGAGCTGCACACACAGATCGGATACTATCACACAGCAGCAGACGGGGAAGAGAAAATCAGTGACAACTTCCTGGCCAGGGGTGAGGAGGCGAAGAGATAAGATGTCTGGCTTCTCTCTCCCTCTCTGCAGGTGGTTTAAACCTAGTGGATGAGGAGAGGGTGACCCCAAACCGGCTTCCTCTATACTGTCCTTGTGCCTATTAGAAAGGTACAGCTCTGTCTCCGCTCTGGACAACTGGAACCAGATCAGAGTCCAAGGTGGCCTTCAACAGTCTGCCTCTCAGCCCCTTGGACAGGAATGAAAGGCGATCTTGCTAATCAGAACTCTGGATTGTAAAGGAAAGAGGAGAAATTAGCAAAGAACACAACCACGAAGAAACCAGTGCCATGAATGAATTGGCTGATGCTCCAGGGAAAGGCCAGTGCGACCTTTGGGTTCCCAGAGCAGAGTATGTGTGTGACACTGGAATAGCAGGTGACCAGGCTCAGGGGTTCTCCCAGGATGCCAATGACCCAGCCCTAGTCTGCAAGAGCTCATATACATGCATTTTCTAGAAAACAATAATTATCTCAAAAGATTCCTTCCAAAAGACACGCTAAAGATGTATTCAAGGGGCTATGCTTCAGACAAAACTTCTATTTGATGGTACCAGGTTGGAGGAATTATTCATCTTGAAAAATAAAAAGCCCATGCTTACTTCGTTTGTGCAAAGACAGCCATAACCTGGAAGAATTGTGACTCAACAAACAGAAACTTGCAAAGGAAACCAACCCTTGGCCTCTATCACATCATCCTTGAATAACCCTCACAGTAACAGATCTTAGAACACACACTCAAAAAATGAAGAGAGTAAGTAAAATAGGAAAGGAAAGGAAAGGGGAAACACCTGAAAGACTGGGGGAAGACTGGATTGGTTCAATGTTTTTGGCTGATCAGAGCCTTAAAATCAGAAAATATGCAGCTCATTGTTTCCATCCAAGACTCCACCTGAGACCACTACCCAGAGTTTTCAATTTCTGCCCATTTAGGAAGCGTTTTCTGACTAATTCCTGACCTTCAGTCTCCACCAGCGAACACAAAAGCAGTCGTGGAGATTAGAACTGAAGGCAGGTGGCCAAGCTATGACCAGAAGAGCTGGAAAGTGGGGACAAGGAAGAAAGACGGGAGAGGATCACACGGAGGCAGTGGCCACAGGGCACAGTGACACCAACAGGGACCCCGAGCTGCCCTTCAGGAGGCGACAGGCATGGATGGTACCAGGGGCCATGTCGGGTGCTTACCACACCTCCCGGCAGGCCAATGCCATCTGTGCTCTCCCAAAGCTCTCCCCCGCCCTCGAGGCCCCGTCCCTCTCCCCTGCGGCCCTTTATGCCAAGTCGGCTTGCTGGACCTCAGATGTCACACTCACCAGGGAGGACCGGCTCCAGGTGGGCTGGCGTCTGATGGGGGGCGGAGAATTAGATTGCCTACACGAAAAATTGGAAAAACCGAGAAGGGCCGTTATTACTGATCAGCTGTCAAAAGAACAGAGCGATGAGGGAGGAAAGGAAGGGACAATGACAAGACCGGCCAGGTGTGTGCCCAAGCACGCCGCCATTCACCTCTGGATGCTGGTGCTAGGAACAATTTTCACTTCCTTTTTTTTTTTATTCTTGACATGTCTGGGATTTATGCTATGTTGGTAATAACTTTTACCAGCTAACATTAAAAGAATGAGATATATTTTTAAAGAAACAAAATTGAAAAACATCACCACAATGCTTACACAGACATTCAAAAATTGTACTCTTTGTACTTCTGTGGCTGTGTAAAATCTCTCATAATAATTATTATGAGAGGCAAAAAGAAAAAATATCTTCTAAAAATGCTTCCTGCCAAATGAAATTCCAAAATAGGTAAAATATTTTTCCACATGAGCATATAAAAACACTTCTTGTTACAATAACACATATTACAAATATTTTTCTGACCAGATCCTTTTAAATTTTATTTCACTTCATTTTATTGCTAGGCAAGTGTACCACCACTGAACTACACCCCTTAACCAGACAGCTACAGGCTGAGCACCAACGGAGATTTAGAAGGAAAAAAGCAGAGAGAAAAATGAGTGGGAACATGGAATATTAAGTCTTAAAAGCTGAAATCAAAGATGCTTTTGACCAAGGGATCCCACAGGCAGTAACAACATTTCCCCTAATCCTCAGTATTATCATAAAAAAATAAAATAAAACACAGGGCAGGAAGCTTCTATCAAGTTACAAGTTCTTCAAAGGCCTCTTGTTCTTCTCAGATTGCCCCCTTTCTAACTTCTTGATTATACAAATCTTTTATCATGCGATGGAGACCACAGAGTAATGCTGAACTTTCTTAACGACTGGTCACAGAAAATGTCACCATGCTGGTGTTAAACATGGTCCCCTTGCCTCTGTTCCCCAGGCCAAAAGTACTGGCCTGGGGAGCAGAGATACTGTCTGGAGGGACACTAGCAGATGACAAGCAGGGACCCTGCATGGTCACAGGAAACAGCAGCCATCTGTCAGAGGTCAGAGCATGGACGGCCCCGGACAAGGACTCTGCACCCCGTGGAGGAGGAGACCTTGGAGAGGGCGCTACTTTGTCAGCTCGGGAGGGATGTCCCACCTCTGAGCAGATCTGGGCTAAGTGCATGGAATTGCACTGAGAATTTAAAATGTACGTGACAAGAAGACTCCATTTCTAATCAGCCCCAGGATTTTAAAAAATTTACACTGTATTATGTACATGTGCCAATGCCTCACGATGAATGTACTGCAAATATGTATTAATAAAATAAACTTTAAAAAAACCTCATTTCTAATAAAGAACCTCCAGTACCGCGTCAGGAAGGAGCAAAGAAGGCCTATTACAGAAGCAGAATGAAAAATGATTTCTTCTTTGTTTTCAGCCTCAGAGGCAAAGTTCACTAAATTAGGAGAAAAGATCATAAAGGAAACACCCTCGGAAGGGGCGCAGGGCAGCCAGTTGCTGCGAAATGGGAGCCAGAGGGCTCCGGTGAAAGCCTGCTTCTCAGCACGGTTTCTGACCAACCCTACAGAAGCCAAATGCAGAACTCTTGTTAACGTCAAGGACACCCTGACAGTCAAGGGCAAAGAGCAGCGTGGACCCGCACAGAGCAACCAAGGAACCTGATCAAAACTGGTGTGCGGTGTGCACAGAAGGAGAGGGCTGTGAGGAACATGCAGCTGCCTAATTTGCCATCCCCTGCCTGGGGCCTTGTGATTCGCCTGGAGGGCAAACTTCCTGGAAGGCCAAGGACCGCCACATACACTGTCGGAGCCCGGCAGTGACCAAGGGCACAGCCTCTGTCCTACGGGGAAGAAAGCCGGCCGTGACCCAGGCATCCAGTTCTCTGCACCAGCTGGAGGCAGCGTCCCCGTGGGGGCGGAGAAGTGGCTCAGCCTCGCATCTGCATCCCCGATGCCCTCTGAACCCAAATTAAACACCTTGGGTGCCCAAAGGCGAAGGCACACTGCTGCGGACATCTTTGAAGAAGACTGAGATTAAGGCGACCAAGGAAGCCTGCCCAGCTGCTATCTGCGAGGTCAGGCCACGCAGGAAGGACCTGCATCTGATGCCCCTTTGTTTCCAAATGAAATTAACAGGAAGACCGTGGGTCTGTGACACCTCTTGGTGTCTTCCAAATCGCCCTCTCATTATGGCCCCGGCCTCTCATCTGCAGGCGATGACAGAGCTGGAGGCACATGCAGGGTGAGCGTCTGCGTGAGCACGACAGGGCAGGGATGACAGCAGCCTCTTCCCTTTCAAGCGGGCACTTCGCGGCACTGTCAGCACCTCTGAAGGTGCCTGCATCTGACACGAGGGGAACCTCAACAAATGGGGCACTGCACGGTTCCTCCGAACTCTGAGCCTCAGCAATGCACCGATGTGGCCCACCCATCCCCTCGGTCAATTTGTGAAGCGTTTTCTCTCCAGGCACAGGGACTACACACACCAGCCGGCCTTCATCATTTAAGCTTCCCTCCTCCCCCATTTGCGCCTCCTTCTTTGGCTTCTGCAAGTATCAAGGAGAAAAGGCCAAAGGGAAAAGGTGATCATCGCTCTCCCAGCAGCCCTCCGATAGGATTTCCCTAGTCACCTTGGGAGAGCGAGGGACCGATGTCTACTTACTCGGTGCAGATTTTGTTTTGTTTATAAAACTTGTGCCTTGTCGTGAATAACCGGGACACATACTTTGCATTCTCAATGTCATCCTTGGAAAGGAGGAGAGAGAGGGAGGGGGAAAAAATAAACATTTGTTTGATGAGATGCACAGTGCACTAAGATTCCCGTACACAGTGAAACCTCCCTCCGTACTCTCTGCATCTCAGTACAAACTAACTGCTGCACCAGGAAGCCACCAACCTGTAACCCTCAGGGCAGTGCAGAAGATGCTGTCTGCTAAAGAACTCCTGGGTCTCAGGCTCTGGGCTATGTGCATGAACTGGGAAACTGAGATGTCCTTACCTAGCTCTGAGCTCTGGGCTTCAAAGGTAAGTAACTGAATCAAAGCAGAGCAGAGGAAAAAACACCAGAGAAGGTGTGAGGAGGCAGTGAGATGCAGGAACAGCCTGGCGCAGGAGGAGCAGGAGGAACAGGGAGAGGAGGAGGAGGAGGAGGAGGAGGAGGAGGAGAAGGAGAGGGAGGAGGAGGAGGGGGAGGAGGGGGAGGAAGGGGGGGAGGGGGGAGAAGGGCATTCCATAACCACCCTGGGCAGCAGGGAAGCTCAGGCTATGACAGAATGAAACCCAGGTCAACCAGCAAAGGAAAATGCAATGCACCCCACCTGGTTTCCCAACAGGGGTGTAAACAGAGTACCAGGCCTTGGCATGCCAGACAGGGGCTCAGGCCCCAAGATGGCAGCCACGGCCACCCCCTCTGACAGCCAAAAGTCGGCTTGCAAGCAGGCATCTGAGCATTCCCTGAAACAAGTGATGACAGCAGCAGGCAAGGACCAGAAAGCACCTCCTAACACAGTTCCCTTCTCTAAACCAAGGGGAACAAGGAAAGGACGTCTAACACCACCCCGTCCATGGGCCCGGCCCTGCCGCCCGTCCGGCTCACCATGTGGAAAAGGGCTGTCTCCTCCTTGCTGACCAGCTCCACCAGAATAGTGGACTTGCTGTGGGTGATGGTCCCGATATCGTTCCACCTGGCACAGAGGAAATGCAACCGGGTTTGCCCACGCACCGCTCCGAGGATTCTGGACCCAGCCTGGGAGACGTCCACCATGTCAAACTATGATGCAGCCCATTTTAAAAACACAGCTGAAAAATGCTCCTCTCACAGGAGACAACTAAAGGAACACAGCCTGCATCTAGGGACAGGAGCAACCTTCCGAGGGAAACGGCTGCTCACTGATAACCCAAGCTGTGAGTGAGTGAACGGTGCAAGGGAATTTGGTTGCCTTCTTTCTCCGTTTTTCCTCACTGCAAAGGCACTCCCTTGGCCCCCGCCTTTTAACAGTGGAGCAGCAGAACCTGATCACAAAGCCACTGTCACCAAGGGCCTGGGCCGAAGAACGCATGTGGACGGGGTTGCAGGGTGCTCGGCCAAGCGGCTGCACCCACGTGAGCGTGCCCAGTGATGCTGCACGGGCCCAGTGATACTGCCCGCAGGAGCAGACACACACAATTTCACAATCTCTGTCTCTGTCTGCAGGAAACCTTGTTTAAAACAGGGTCCGCTGAAATAAGTGTCCAACCAGAAGACAGAAGAAGGTGCCCCTTCTCATTTAGACTCTATAGTTGTCTTCAATTTAATTTTTATTGTTTTGTGTCAGAGCTGGGGATCAAACCACGGGCCACCCATGCCAGGCAAGTGCTCTACCGCTGAACTGCACCCCGTGTCAACTTGGGGGACATTTGTGATTCTCTGTGGCTACAGCCTACTGCTCCCTCAAGCCTCGGCCTGGAATCCACCTCCATTGTGTGTCTGTCGCTTCTCACACCTCTGTCATCCTCTGCCTGCAGAATTCTTTCCAGACTCAGATCTGCCAGCTCCCCTGCAAATCGGGTCCTCATTTCCCACCACCCACAGGCATGGAGCACTCAACAAACACTTGCTGGAGTGGAACGTGATAATACCACCTCTTGTCTGTACAGGCTGCAATTCTTGCTTGCTTTCTGGCTGCTCCTGCTTTCAAGCAGAGATAATTTAGACACAAATGGTCACATTCTCTCTCTAGCTCAGGGATGATGAGTTCTTTACCTAGCTGTCCAGAGTCCTCCCAGGGATCTTTCCACCACAGCAGTACCAACTGGGTTTAATACATGGGCTCGGCTCAGCTGGCTCCTGGATTAGAGCTCTGTTTGTTCAAACCAACCACCAAAACTCTAGGAACACCACTCACCCTACCACAGGACTTTGCCTATGGCACAATGAACATGAAAAGATCTGGAGGAAGTTCATACCAGAGCAGGGAATGGGGGCTAAAGGCCACTGTGTCACCTGGATTGCCTCTGAAGCCACCCAGAGGACATGGTAAAAACACACTTCTGGACGTATCTGGGTGGGTCGTGGAGGCGTGGCACTGGGGACTAACTGTGTCTGGTCTGAGCCTCCTCTTCCCTGGCCCTGTTCCCCTGCTCTGCTTCCCAGACACCCTAACCTGAGCCCCTTTGTCACACCATGCTGTTTCTTCCTTGGAGCCAGCCGACCATGCACTAAACCCCCTGAAACCAGGAGCCACAGTAAACCTCCCCGCCTTGAAGCTGGGTGTTGAGCTCTGTGCCCAGCAACAGGAAAGCTGCCTCACAGGGCAAAGCCTGTAGGCAACACACACTCATCCCAATCCAAACCACTATTCTGTTTCACCTCAAGATCTTTTGTACAGGAAGCATCTACCTACCTTCGGCAGCCTCCAGGAGAAATCAAGGCATCAATCTGATCTTAAATAACCAGAGAGGAGAAAATACCTGGCTAGATCTGAACAACTCTACACGTATTTACTCATCTGGGTCACGCTTTGATGCAGACACGGGAAGTGGGTTCTGAACACGGCCACAATTCAAAGCCCTTTAAAGCCCTAAAATCTCACTCTCTTTTTCAGCTTCAATAATGTGTGTATGGAAGCAGCAAGGGGAAAATATCAGACAGTGGCAGGATGGGGATCTACGACACTTCCAGTAGGAAAATGTCTCTGAAGTATCGGCAGTGACCGCTGGTCCAGGCAGTGTCTGGCTGGACATGATTCCCTTTTAGAGGTGTTCTGGGCCCTGCACGGATGCTCGGTGTTGCCATCAGATGCTCACTCACATAGCAAAGCTGTGCTTCCCAAAGTAACGTGCCACACGGCCCTGGTGGAGCACGCAAGCAGCCTAGCATCGGGACACGCACCATGCCCCATCCCAAGCCTGCCTACGTTAAGGGGAAAGAAGCTTTAAGTGTCCAGATCATAAAAAAGTACCTTAGTCTGTCTGTCTGTCTGTCTCTTTTTCAGTTTGTATGTCAGATTGGGGACTGGGGATTGAACCCAGGGCCTCTACACAGAGCTGTATTCCAGCTCTTTTTATTTTGAGACAGGGTCCCACTAAATTGCCACACTGGCCGAGAACTTATGACCACATTGCCTCAGGCTCCCAGAGTGCCAGGGTCACAAGGCTTCTTCCAGCACCCCTCATTCAAGGCCTTTTAATGTGTTTGATAAACAATCCTCACTTGTTAACATAAAGTTTAGCTCGTGCTCTTTCAGCTCTGTGGTTGGGCAGAGGGCGCAGGACGACGGGAAAACTCCATCGGGATCTAATCGCTGTCATAGATACCCAGACAGTGCCCAGCCGCAGAGCTGGTTCTAAATGCTCGCCAGACTTCGCCGGTCAGTTTGTCTCCTGGAGTCGGGGGTGTGGGGGAGGCAGGCAGGGTCCCTCTCCACCATCAGGGCTCCAGGAAGAGTTGGGAAAAGCTCAGCTCCAAACCACACTCTGCCTCTTGCTCATCTGGGTAACTTAACAGTCAGGTCAGCTGTCTAGCGTCTCTCCAGGGGAAAAGGGAACGAGGAAAAAGAGGAGACAGGCTCACTTACCTGTATATCACTGCTTGTCTTCCGATTCTGTTCCTCACGAAAATGCCCATGAAGAAGATGCCAAGGTGCATACTATTCCCATGATTGTCCTGTGTGAGATCAACAGAAAACCTCTGACCACCGTGTACAAGAGCCAAGCTACGGGGAGGACTAAGCAACGGTGCATGGACGACGGGTAAGGAGAATGTAGGATTCTGCAGTATACAGGCGGAATATCATTCAGCCTTCAAAAAGGAAATCCTATCATTAGATCAATGTAGATAAACCTAAGTGAAATAAGCCAGGCACAGAAAGACAAACACCACAAGACCTTAGTTAAATGTGGGAGCTAAAAAAGTTGAGCCCATTGAAGCAGAGTAGACGCGGGTGAGCAAGATGGCTGGTATTCACCGAAGCAGACACAATTTGTCCTACACAAAAGGACGAACCCAGGAGCTCAACTGCAGACCCGATGACTGAAGTTGACAATGGACTACATTCTTCAGACTCAGGGACCGCAAACTTTCAGTGATCTCACCCAAGAAAATGCTCAGTGCGTGTGACAACTCATATGCTCATCAGCTTTGCTTGGCCATTACACATTTATACACATTTCAAAACATGCTGTGCAGGATACACGTATGTGGACAGTGGACAGCTGTCCACTATGAAGTGTATTTGCTGGGGACAGGTGCAATGTCTCCTGGGGTCACTAAGCGTCTTGCAGTTCCTGGCAGCAGCCCACCATGTCCCTCCCGATGACCTGGCGAATGCAGCCTGTATCCAGGCAATGAGGGGACCAGCTTGGGGAAGAAAGAATTTAACCCCTGGGACTGGGGATTTAGCTCAGCGGCATAAGCACCTGCCTTGCAAGCAGGCGGTCGTGAGTTCGATCCCTGGTACTGATTAAAAAAAAAAAAAAAAAGAATTTAACCCCTGTACATTTAGGAAACTGCATAGATTTTTCTTTATTCCCCCACTGTCACAACATAGCAATCACACAAATCTCCCATCTGGGATCCGCAGGGTTTGGGGGTTTTCTTTCACGCACATCTATTAACTTTTTTAACTTAGCTTTCGTTTTTGAAATCAAAGTTATCCATGCACCAACTCTGAAGAGCAGTTTCCTCTCTGCAGCGCAGCACACATCTCCTGTGCACCTGTGCGTGCTCTCACAGTATGGAGAACCCCATGTCCCCCACAAAGAGCCAGGTCCCGGTCCATGCCTCTGTTTCCCTGTTCACTTATTAGAAGCCACGTCATTCAGCTGACGGACCTCCTGGGCATCAGTTACTTCTTTGATTTCCTGGGCTCCTCTTTTACTTAGTTTTTTTCCCCCTTGTGTTTTGGGGAGCTGTTTTCAGCTTTACTTTCTAATCTGTCCACTGTTTGCCACATGTGCTATCATATTTTTAAATTCCCAAGAGTTCCTCTTTATTTTCTAAACATTTTTTTCCTAAGCGCCCCATTCCTTTGAGGAGACGCTTTGTTGTGCCCAAGTTTGGGTTTCTGGGCAGCATCATGGTTTTCTCTTTGCAGAGGCCCCTTCTCTCCCACTACCTTGGTCTCCGCGTCAGCCTCTGTCCTTCTGCAGGTGACACTCGCCCGCCTGTTCCTCTCTACTCCGGGGTAGGCGCTCTGGGCATTTCTGGGGCACAGGAGGGCGGGAGGCTTCACTGGCCCTTGCTGGGGAACCAAACTGTCCCAGCTTCTGCCTGGACTCCTGCTCCAGGCAGTGTCTCCTGTCACCTGCTTGAGTTCTGAGAGCAGCCTGGGGCCAGGGCTCCACAGCCAGCAGATCAACTGTGGCACAGCCCTCGCCTTCGGGCTGGAGCGAGGCCACGCACAGGTCAACCGAAGCCAGAAGGAGCTCTGTGCTTGCTGGGCACTCACCCGAGGGTCTCCCCTGTGACCTCACCTCTCTCCTGCCACCAGCACTTATGGGACAGACAAAGCAAAGCAGAGAGTGCCTTGAGAGAAAGAACTGAGACAGGAGGGCAGCCTGTCAGAAGCTGAGCGGGCGAGTTACACAACAGGAAAGAGGACAGGAGGAGCAGGGCAGGAAGTTCTCCAGGGACTTCGCTGTGGCACCTTGCCAGTAGGGCCACACTGGAGTCTGTGGGGACAGGACACAAAGAGCAGTTCCCTGGGTGGAGAAATGGAAAACCAGAGAGGCCACTAGGCGCCCCTCTACCCTGGAGGAGTCAGGGGAGTCAGCGGCACACACCTGTGATCACAGCCCCCAAGAGGACATCAGGTTCAAGGCCAGCCCGGGAAATTTAGCAAGAGCCTGCCTCAAAATAAAAATACACAACGGGCTGGGGACGGAGCTCAGTGCCAAGGCCCTGGGTTCAATCCCCAGTACTACAGAGGAGGAAAGGAAAGCTGAGTGGGGCAGGGAAGCATGGAAGAAAGGATGGTCGAAGGGAGGGACGGAGAGAAATGTAAGGCCCTGCCAGGGCTCAGCTCTGTGTCACCATCCCGGAAGCAGCACCTTCCCATATCCTTGTGCTTGGTGACACGCGACACATGCAGCAGCCACCGTGTGTGTGTGTGTGTGTGTGTGTGTGTGTGTTGGGGGAGGTAGCTGTTGGGAAGTACATGGGGCTGTCCTAACCTTGAGCAGTTTTTAGGGATCATTCAAAAAAAAAAATGCCACCTGCATGGAGATCCTCATGCCCTGGACACGGAGGAGAGGAGAGTTTTTCTTTATTAGGTTCCCAAGGGCCTGTGTGCCCCTCCCTGTCATTCTCCTGCTCCCACAGGCCAGCCTCAGCCCAAAGCTCCAGGTCACCATTCCAGGGTCACCAGGCCTTCTGTGGCTGCCAGAGCCCACACTGGATCAGGGGCCCGGTGACACAGGGCAGGATGAGTCAAAGCATATGAGCAAGTCACTGCCACCAGGAAAGCCCCAGCACCTGGACAGGGCAGCCATGTCTCTAGACGTGGAGAAAAGTGTACTGATTTTCCATGACCCTAAATACCCTGACTGTCTGCGAGGTATGTGGGTGCAATTGTGAGGAAAAGGGACAGTCCTATGCAAGGTGGCCTTCACTCAGCAAGGCCACCGAGGAGCCCCTTCGGCCTCTGCCTGGCTCCGTTCCGCCTGCTGCAAGCTCAGGGTTCTCACTGTGGCAAACCGCAGACGCATGGCCAGGGGGACTGAGATGCTCCCCAAGCCACCGCCGGAGCCACCGTGGAGAGAGATGTTTGTGCTGAAACACAAGCTTCTCCCAAACCTCCGGCAAAACTCTATGTTTTGGGAAAAGCTGGTCAAAAGGACAATGAGCCTCAATGATGGACACAGCTCCGTAGGTGACCACACACAGCGACCCAAAACCACACCCACTATGGGAAGTGGACGGGCACAGAGGATGCAGCCTGATGTCACAGCCTCCTCCGCTCCATCTGCCCACGGGCAACTCAGTCACATGGAGCACACTGCAGAGCTGGAGAAATAAAATACACCTGCACCCTGGAAGGGGTTCACCCTAGGTGGAGATCATTCTCCCCAGAGCCCGTCTAAAAGGAAAGAAACACACAGGGGGAGAGAAGTCCTGGCTAGAGTCCCTGTGACAGACACCACCACCTCATTCTCAGTTAACACTCAGCACAACGTTAGGACCTTCAAAGTGCCGGATGAAGAAGTGTCCAGTCACTTCGACGGCTGTCTTTTTGGTGTCTGTCTGTTATCAGAGATCGAACCAGGGCTTTCACACTGTGCCTTTTTATCCTTTCATTTTGAGTCAGGGTCTTCCTAAGTTGCTCGAGCTGACGAGGCTAGGCTCAAACTTACAATCCTCGTGCCTCAACCTCCCTGAGTCCTGGATTACAGGCATGCACCACCACGCCCAGCTAGATGATTGTCTTACAAATGAGATTTTCTGCTGAAGATCCTCGTGCCCTGGACACTGAGGAGGGATAGGAAGGTGGAAAACCTCAAAAATCTCCCAGCTAAGACCCAGCGCTGTCACAGCTCTGTGAAGTCAGAAGAAAGTCTCGCCAACTCAGGCAGCTTAGCAGTGAAAAGGGGAGGCCTTCCTGTACGCTACCACTGGTGCTGGCTTTGCAGGGCTGTGTGGTTCCGAGCGGCCACACAAGGCCAGGTCCCGGCACCTCACCTTAACAGGGAAGATCTCCTGCCCGAATCCGTCCAGTGGCTCCACTTCGTTGATGTACATCAGCTCGGCCTCTGCTGGCAGGATCCCACTACAACCAAAGGGCAGCAGAGAAGAAACCGTGAGGGTCACTGAGGACCCACCCCGCCTGTGGACGGCAAACTCGGGGACTGGGTGTAGCCCTGGCTTCTGGGAGGAACAATCTGCCTGGTGAAGGCAGGGGCAGTGGCCAGCCTCTGAGAGGACGCTAAAGCATCTCACCGAGAGCTGCAGCCCCAGAACTCTCCAGAACCCTCCACACACCCTTGTGAATGAGGCCGCCTGCTTTGGAAAAAAGTTATTTTTTCCCAACTGGGAAAAATTTCCAATCTTTGTTTTTTTTTTTTTTTTTTGGTATTGGGAATCGAACTCAGGACCTTGAGCTTGACAGGCCGGCACTGTGCCACTCAGCCACATCTGTGCCCCCTAATATGTTTAAAGATCATTATTATGGTTTAAAGACACTTTTGGGAGCTGAGCAGCCACCGTAAGACCGGCTGAGTGCTGGGCTCTCTGAGGACAGGTGGAGAAGAAGCCTGCTGTCCATGGGCCCCAAACAGCTGCAAGGGTCTAACGTTCAGGGCTCGATGGTTCCTTAGGTTCGAGTCTCCCCCGGCCTTGTCCCTCTGGGTTTCACCTCCCCACCCAACATGAAACTTCAGGTGTTCACCCCCAGCACAGGAAGGAAGGAAAAAGGAAGGAAGGAAGGAAGGAAGGAAGGAAGGAAGGAAGGAAGGAAGGAAAGAGAGAAAGGAAGGAAGGAAGCAGAAGGGAAACAGAGTCACGCGGTGGAAGGGAGAACCCGTGCTGCCCTGCCCAGGGCGGGCTGGGTGGATGCAGGCACCTGCTGCCTCTGCAGCCTCACCTGTGGGCTTTGTGTTCCTGCGCGACCTTCTGTGTCAGCTCCTCCAGAGCAGCCTCTTCCAGAGCCAAATCCTGCAAGAATAAAAAGCACTTAGGGCAAGCAGCTCCCGGCATCTGCATTTTGTTCTCAAACCAGAACTGTGGGAGCTCTGTTCGTAGCTGGGCATGACGGTACACTCTGGGATGCTGAGGCAGGACGCTCACAAGTTCACGTCCAGCTGGGGCCACTTAGAGACTCAGTGAGATCCTGTCTCAAAATAAAAACTCTGAGGAGGGCCAGGGATGCAACCTTGGTAAAGGCCCTGGGTTCAATCCCCACTACCACCAAAAAAAAAAAAAGAGGAAGGAAGGCAGGAAGAAAAGAAGGGAAGAAGAGAGGGAAGAAGGAAGTTCATTTCAAAGTTACCGCTTGCATCCCTCAGCCTCTCCTTCACTCTCACAGAATGAAGAGCCGTGATGTTCAGGACTAAGTCAGCATTCCTACTGCTGTAACACAGCTCTGCATTGGAACTCAGGTGACCTCCAGGTCTATTTCGGGTTGCCATCTAATTTCTTTTGTGTGTGGAGGGCGGGGGACCAGGAATTGAACTCAGGACCTTGTAATTGCCACTGAACTGTGCCACTGAGCTATATTCCCAGCCCCTTGCCGTCTAATTTCTGCAGAGCCCAGGAAGAGTCCTGCTTTCATCTGCCTTCCTCCCTACGTGTCTGTCTCTCAACTGCACTTGTATCAGAATTGTCTGGTAGTTGCCCGTGCATTTTTATCCATCAGAGCATAAAGTTGAATGAATTTCTAGGCTGCCGTCCTTTCAAAAGCTGAATCCAGGAAGGGATGGCACCGGGGCCTTTCTGCCCATTTTTATGACAGCGGTAAACATCTGAACCACAGGTGGGAATAGCAGGCTCACAGAGGTGCTACTGGGCAGGCATGAGAGCAGAGACGGTCACAGGGCTAAAAGAGCTCCAGGGCAAGTCCATCCCGAGCTGGGGCTGGGTGTCCACTATTTGCTGAGCTCAGTGGGGACAACAGAACTCCGAGCTCATCCAGCTGAGGGCGCTCTGAGGCTCACATTCCGAGACTTCCCAGGGCTAGCGCTGGTACTTTGGCAGAAAACCCTCAAAGTGCCTCATTTTCCTTGGCTTCTAAAATCCCATCTCTCAGAGATTTACCCTGAAGTTAACTGCTCTTCATGGAAGAGACGCTACCTCCATGGTAACAAACGTCTCATCTCAAGCCATTAACAGGGGAACAAGCAGTTATCTATGAAAGCTGGAGAAGGAGGCCATTGCTCCAGCTTGGAATTGTATGGCTCTGTAGGTTCTAACAGTTGTGTGACTGGTGAGAGATGGAGAGAATGCAGGGAATCACCGGAGCTCTTGTTTTTCACGGTAACAGGTCAATCTGCTGCTTCCAGTCAGGCTCCCGGAGCGCTGCATTCCCAGCTGTGCACTTGGAGACTCAGCAGTGCATGTGTGAGTCTCAGCACCAAGGGAAGGTGATACCATGAGACTGACTTTGAAAAATGAATGAAAGGCAGGTGATAATTTCATTCAAGAAGGGTGAGAGAACACTGAAAACGATTGTATTAAACCTCTGTTCCCTACTTTGCAAAAAAGAGAAGGCCCAAGGGAGCCCCTGGGACTGTGCCCCTCTGCGGTATGTGCCCCCCAGAGGACATGGTGGGGCGAGCCAGGGGCTGCAGTGTGCGTGCCTGCACACGGTCGCACACCTGCGGGCAAGGCCCTTGTGTACTTAACTTTGTTCTTTTCTCTGCTGAAGAAACTCCATTTGACAAATTCGGTTCCTTTTAAAGATCAAACACAGCCATCCATCCCGTGTTCCCTCCCCCACCAAGGAATGCATTCCTCTCTTTGAAAGGCCAGTGGAACCAGGCAGAAAGTTTACAGCCCTCCCGCATGGCTCCCCACTGCCTGGGCGAGGAGGTCAACACCTGGGCCTGGCATTCCGCCCATTCTCCAGTGTGGCCGGGGCTGCCTTCCTCTCACTTCGGTTCCCGGGGTTCTAGGCCTCGGGCAAACACCTCTTCTCCGAACCATTCGTGCTCACACCCACTCTCCTGGGAGGAAGCATCCAGTGCCCCCATGCCTTGTGCATGCTCACATCACCCTTCCGGTTCGCCTCAGCTGTCACACGCTGGACAGAGCTCCTCCATCCCCAGGGGATGTAAGCTTCCCATACATTTCCACCACGGTGACTTGCAGGCCCCCCGCTTCTGGCTCTTGCTTCCCTCTCTTCGAATCCAGGCAGCCACCCCACTTCCAGCCACTGCCAGGGTCAGTGCCCCAGGGCACTGCCACGGTGACTGCTCCGAAGTCCTCAACAGGCAGTAAGTGGAGGAGAACTGAGTTATGTGAGGCTGGTTAATGATTCTCTGGATCCCCTGCCTCTCCAAGATGTGATGTCTGGAAAGCAGTCTTCAGCCTGCTCAGCCTGCATAAATACACACATACGGTAATGCAGATGACGAGCACGATGGTGATGATGATGGGGGTGGTTGTGGTGGACAGCTGGATAAACGGTTACTGTGCGTTCACCACATGCATTTCTTCTTACAGTGCTTACGACAGCAGTAGAGTTGTTACATTCATTGTAGATGAGAAAACCGAGCCTTGAAGGTTCACTGACTTGCACACAGCCACAGGGCCACACGGCCTCGAGAGCCAGAATGTGACCAGAGAACACACTGCACCCAGCACCCAGCACCCAGCACCCAGCGTGGCAAGGTGGGGTGGGGACACAGGAGCAGGAGGTGAAAGGAGGCGGCTACAGGCAGAAGCCCATGAATCATTACAGCTAGGCTGGACACGGTGACAACAACCACAGCGACAACCGAGCACTCAGCATGCAGCCGGTGCAACTGAGGAACGGAAGCTTTTATTCACGTTACTTTAATCCGTTGAAATTTGGACAGGAAACTCCAGTCAGGCTCAGACTTGGTCTCTTCCCACAGGCAATGTAAGAAAGAATGGGAAAAAGACGAAGTGGAGAACAATCAACAACCCTCCGCTGTCAGCCCCTCAACCTGACACACTGTGCACACACAGTCGAAAGCATCAGGTGTGAGCTCACGCCAACCACACAGGCACATGTGGCTGCTTGTTCAACCCCGCTGACACAACCCCACCAGGACACGCTCTACATCATCTGCTCTCTCCCTGAATGCAGGCTGCTGGAATGGGCAGAATCTGTAAGGCGTCAAGAAACCGCCCACCTGCAGAGAACAGCTATTGCTGAACAGTTAAGAGATTTGCAGATTTTCCCTAACTTCTGAGAGCAAGGTGAGCGTTGGTCCAGTGAAATCCATCCCGAGTGCTAATGTGCACAGTACCTCTAGTCTTACTCATCCTAGGCGCTCAAAACTTACACCTGATCTGCATCTGGCCTTTTGACGGCAGGGAGGCAGAGACAGGCTAGGCTCTGATGACTTCCCTTTGGTCTGTTTCCCAAAGGTGCAGTTCACACAGCACTCATTTCCACAAGGACATCCCTGAGTTCACTACTCTGGCTGGAAACAGTCTAATGAGACTCAGGGAAGGTGGGGAGAGAGAGATTGCCCTGGGCGGTTAGCTGGCTCTTTATCATCAGGCTCTGTGCCAGCTACCCATAGAAGGTGACCTCAGAGGACCTGGTTTTTAATTGGCAATTGATTAGGCACTGCATGCCCAGAGAGGGGGGGTCTGGCGGAAGGTGCTAGTGGCCAGGACAGCCAACTTCACACTGCGTGGCAAGCCACCCTTAGAAAGGGGATCATTTGCGTCAATGTTTGAGTCACTGAAAAGACAGAATCACGGTCAAAAGTCAAGATGAAATGGAGGAGAAGGAAGGACTTCAGGAAGAAAACACTCATGGCAGAATGTGGTGGCACATGCCTGTAATCCCAGCTTTTGGGAGGCAGAGATAGGAGTGCCGTGAGTTCAAGGCCAGCCTGAGTCACATAGCAAGACCCTGTCTCAAAACACAAAACGCAAAACAGGCAACATTACAGGGACCCCACAGGTCATCCACCAGATAAACACTATGGAAGTGGCACTTCGTTGTCTATGACTACTGGGCTAATATTTACAGAAGCATAAAAATAAACTCTTCAAGCCGGGTGCAGTGGCGTACCATGGTGACCCCAGCACTTGCAGTGTCTGAGGCAGCCAGATCAGGAGCTAAAGTCTCACGTGGTGTAGTGAGATCCTGTCTCAAAAAATTTTTTAAAACAGGGGAGGTAGCTGAATGCATGCCCTGGGTTTGATCCCCTGTACCATAAAAACACTTTTCTAAAAAATAAGTACCTGAGAACATCACTAGGCACCCTCCTAACTGGTAAGAGGGCAGCTTTTGCCTATTTTATTTCCTAAATTGCTGTGCTTCCTCGTGTGTCCTCAATGCTAGCCCCTTCCGTCTTCTGTCCAGATGTTGCAGCACGACAGCTCCCAGCCTGACTCCCTCCCTGCAGAACAACTCCTGCTCCAAGCGCCACTGCTGGGGGAGCCCAGGCATTCAAAGGCTCAGAAACTTCAACCCCTACAATTCCCCCTGAACCCCAAACCCTGTCAAGCTCCATCTGGACATCCCCTGCCTGTTCCCTCCCTGCCCCTTGCAGTCCAGCTTTCTGTAGGTCCTGTGTATTCTGGAAGCCTCCCTCGTCCTCCAAGCATGTGGCATTTCCCCAACTAAAATCCCAATGACACTTTATGACACTTGGCATGGCAGGCGATCTTGCAAACTTTCTATTCAGCCGCCCTAGCTGCAGTTGCCTTAAAAACATGTACCAAGGCTTGTACAACTTCGTCCCCTGGGGTTAGTTGCCCAGGCCAGTGTTCTGGGCAAAATAGCTGCTCCAGAAAAAATGTGTAAGTGGTGACACTCATGATCTCTAGAACTGGAGGCTGCATGTCAGATGGGAACTGCTCTACCCCAGGCTTGTGTCTGGGACCCCAGATTTCCACTCCAACCTTCAGGCTGCCACCCCAGAGACCAGCAAATCCTCCCTGAGACTCAAAGCTTAGCTGGCCCTGATTCAGGACTCAATGGGTCCTGGAGTGTGGTGGTTGGCGTGTATCAGACAGGCCAGCTGTCACGGAAAGGCAGACTCTCTGGGAGGTGACACCTGCATAGGGACCTCTGCAATAGGAAGACGAGGGTCAGAGTGCTGGCACACAGGGCACACCAGGCACCAAGGCTCTGGGCTGGGACGGAGGACAGCATGTCTCCCACATGGGTGATCAGGGACTGGAGCACACTGCGAGCCAGCAGTGCCTAGCAGAGAAGCCTCTTCCTGGGGTCTTACTGTGCTGACAATGACCCTGTGTTGATTAGGCATGTGTGACGCCTGGTACGGTGCGTGCACCGCTGGAATGGGTGACTGTGCTGGTTGGCATCTGGTCCCTTATACACCTGCTGTTTCTCTGCAGCGAGACCACTCAGAACCCACCGTGCAGCCTTCTTGAAATACATCCCATCGTGACAGGACTGGGCTTCAGGGACTAGAGTTTACTCCTCCTGTCAAAGGGACGCCTGGCACCCTTGGACAGCATGGCCAGGCCCCTGCCCCTGCCCCATCCTTGGCTCACCACTCTCTGTCTCCTGCTTTCACGGGCTTGAAGTTTCAGCGAGGGAGATCATGCAGCCTCTAGCTTTCTGTGCCGGCTCATTTCACCTGGCCCAATGTCCTCTAGATTCATCGACGCTGTGTAAATGATGGGATTTTGTTCCTTTTAAAGGCTGAATGTATTCAGATATATCCAGAAGTGGGACAGCAAGACCATAGGGCAATTCTGTTTTAGTTTTTCCTTTTGAGGAATATCTATACTGTTTTCCAGGTATCTGTGCTGACTTAAACTCTCACAGGTGCATATTAAGCCTCCCCCTTCTCCACAGCTTCGCTGACACTTGTCTCTTTCCTTTGGCCGACAGCCATCCTAACAGATGTGGGGCGAGGTCTCCCTGGGATTTCATTACCATTCCCTGCTGACCACCGCTGTGAACTATTTTCCCTGATCTGGTGGGGTTCTGTGTGTCTTCTTTTGAATCGCTGCCAGACCTATGCTGTATACAGCTCTCCCCGTTTCTTCTGGGCAGTTGCATGGTTTTGAGTCTGATCCCAAAGTCTTTGATATACCTGGAGTTGTTTCCTGTGCAAAGGGTGAGATAGCAGCCTAATTTCGTGTCTTCCATGTGGACAGCCAGTTTTCCAACACCATTTACTGGAGAGACTGTTCTTTCCTGATTGTGTGTTCTCGGCTTCTTTTTAAAAAATAAAAAAATCAACTGATCACAGCCTTGTGGTTTATGCTTCGGCTTCCTCTTCCATTTGAATGGTTAACTGTCTGCTTTTAAGGCTCTACCATGTGCCATCCTGCTTTAATCCAGAGAGCTTTGTAACAGTTTCAAGTCAGGCAGAGTGGCTCTGCGGCTTGGTTATTTCTGCTCAAGATGACGTTAGCTCTTTGGGGTGGTTCTATGGTTCCTTATGAATTTTAGCATTGCTTATTCTATGTCTCATTGGAATTTTGATGGGGATTGCATTAAATCTGAAGATTGGTTTGGGCAGCATGGACATTTTGACTGATTCTTCCAGTCTGTGAACACAAGATATTCTGCCATTTGTGTAATCTCAGTTGCTTTCGTAGATGTTTTCAACAGGTAACTCTTTTGGCTCATAGAGTATATTTACCCCTGAGGGGTGCTGTTTGTTTGTTTGTTTGTTTCCTACTGCTGGGGACTGAACCCAGGACCTCATATGTGACACACAAGCACTTCACCTCAGCCCATTCTCTGCACGGTGCTCCTCAACACAGCACTGAAGACCCACCAAAACAGCTGGGTAAGAAAAAGACATAAACAGTATCTAAACAGGAAAGGAGGAAATTAAAAAAAATTGTTTTCATTTTCTTGAATCTATGTGGTTTTATGTATAAAAACCTCTCAGAGAGTCCACCAAAAACTGTGAACATTGAAGAACAAATTCAGGAAAGTGGCAGGTTATAAAATCTACACCCAAACCAGAGGCTTCTCCATATATCAACAAGGAACTATTGCATTTGAAAAAGAAAGCAGGGAAGTGCCTTGGGGCCGAAGTGGCATCTTGACTTGCTTGGTGTGTTTTGTAAAATGTGTCCCTACTTTATAAATGTGTGAACTTCCCTCTGGAGGGAACATGTTGCCTGTGTAACATTCTCTGACATTTTCAAAGGAAAGAATGGAATGTACAAAGGCAGAACAGTAAGAAAAAAAGTTGCACTTACCATAGGAAACAGCACATACTCCCGGAGGAAATCTTGAGAATCAAATTGATTATAGTCTCCAAAGTCGGCTGAGAAGACAAGAACAGGCGAAGGGTCACTGTTATTACATAGTTCTTAAAGCTGGAGTAAAATGGGGTAAACCTGTCACCACACACTAGAGTCCTCTGCATTCTATTTCTGCATCACTGTTACATAAAAATAAGGCTAAAGAGGTGGTTATGGTTGATATACTGTGTCAACTGGAGAAGTTTAGAAGTTTAACTGACAGTCTCAGCAGGGAGCCAGGATCCTTACTTTGTAAATATCCTCACCCTGTGCAAAAGAAGGGCACAGAGATTTGGTGAGTGCTACACCAGCCCTGGAGAGGTAGGGTGGCCTGTGTACAATACAAGGGAGGAAAAAAGCTTGCTCTCCCCCACTTTTCACTCTGGCTGCTGCCTTGAAGTGCTGTCCCTGTGCCAAGCCACCCTGCCTTGGGGCCAGCTGATTATGGACTGAAACCTCCACAAACTATGAGCTAAAAAAAACCTTTCCTTCCTTCTTTTTGGGCATCAGGTATTTTTGTCCCAGCAAAGAGGGAAAAGTAACCAAGACAGTTGTGTTCAATGTAGTTACTACCTTTACCCAGCAACACTAAATACTGACCTGTGGACACCACTACACAATTTTTGGAAAGAATAGAAAAATGTGAAAGCCACTCCCAACAGCTACTTTAAGACTTTAAAAGAAACCTGCATTTCTCTTTGTGGAATGTGCCCTGCTTCATCTCTTAAGATCTCTGCCAAGGGGATTTTTTAACTTGAGGTTAATCTGGAAAACTTCAGGGCAAACTCATCTGTGTCTTTCCCTATATCTACAGCGGGAAATTCCCACTGTAAATCACTGTTGGCAAGCAACCTGGAACACCTTTCCACCTCCTAAGCAGCTTCACATGCTGCAAGAAGCCAAAAGGTCTGTTCAGTCCTGTTTTCATCTCCCAAAGGTCTGCGGGAGCACATGCTTTTTGATTTCCTGTTACAGATGCAGATTAAGGCATCTGTATGGTAAGAACAGCTATAGAATGACTAGCTGCACAAACACTCTGAGGTCAACCTCGAGAATTCGCCAAGACAGCAAAAATAGACCTACAAATGTACCGGGAGCACACAACTAATTATCCGTTAGGTAGAGCAGTCAAGAAGAGCAACAGTCAGCCAGGAGTGGTGGCACGCCTCTAATTCCAGCACTCTGGTGGCTGAGGCAGGAGGATCACCGTGAGTTTAAAGCCAGCCTGGGCTACACAGAGAGACCTTGTCTCAAAAATACGAAAAAGACAAAACTGACTCACTCTAGTACTTTCCATTTCTTTTTGTATTTTTCTTTTTTTTTTTTTTTTTTTTTTTAATCGGTACCGGGGATCGAACTCATGACTGTCTGCTTGCAAGGCAGGCCCTTATGCCGCTGAGCTAAATCCCCAGCCCCAGTACTTTCCATTTCAATCACCAGTTATCATCTTCCATCACAGCTTCTATTCTGATGTGCCTTTTAATCCAAGCTTTCCAACAGGAGAAGGGTTCGATTTGAAGATGGGTGGTAATACATCTTCTTGTCCTCTGTCTAGGAGCGACGTGCTCCATGTTTTAAATGATGCTACTACCAGTCATAGTCAGCCACCAAACAGACAGATGTGACACACGCATTGTTTCATTTCCCCTCACAGAGTAACAATAGGAGCTAATGCCACAGCAACCGAAGAGCCAACAGAAATCACCACAGCGTGGCCAGTCACCCAGGAGGAAAGGGGCCAGGGGAAGGTGGGTTTACAGATATTTAGTATGCAGAGGCTGGTCTTCAGTTCAAACTGTGAGAAGAGAAACTCATTTTGCAGCTTTGCAACCAACAGTCCACACAGCAAGGATTCAGCTGCTGGCGGGCTCACAATGGACATGAGCTGGATTGCAAGAAAATGAGGGGGTTGGGGATTTAGCTTAGTGGCTCAAGTGCTTGCCTGGTAAGTGTGAGGTTGTGAGTTCGTTCCTCAGTACCAAGAAAATGACAACAAAAACAAAAAATCAACAAAATAAGGACTCCCTGTCAAAAATTTGTATTTTTAGCTTGTTTGTAATATGTCTAGCACAATTAAGCCACCATTCAACAATAAGACAGGCAGACAGACACACACACACACACACCTACATATAAACAAGTAGAAAAAGTAAATGAAATAAGCCAGTTGACAAATCCAAATAGGGCAGGTTGAAATATAAATTTATGGCAGTATATGTATTTGTTTCACATTACCACTGCGGGACAATTTATCTCTGACTGCATCTGAATCAACTCCACAATGATGGTCAAAGCTGTCACGCTGAAAGCTGTGATAGTAACAGATTTCTACTATCAAGCCACAGATTACGGCCACATTTCTGGTGGAATAATTCTGAGAAAATGTCCCACAGCCTCTGAGATGCAGCTTTCGGGAAAGGCAGGGTAAACGCTGCTGTTCCTTCACAAGCTGTAACTGTATCAGCACAAGCAGTTCGCAAGCAGCTCTGAGAGGTCCACCCTTCTTCCACCCCATCGCTCACTTCTCATCTTAACTCGAGATAGCTCAAAAAAGCAAGGGAGCGTTCCACGAGGAGAAGCCAGCAACGCCATGCTCACAAGGAAGCAGAATGTCACACGCTGGTCACGTGCACCAGCTTACCTTGCACCGCTAACCCGGCCAGCCGGATCACCTGTTCCAGTGTACACCGTAACCGCCCTTCGAGCACGTCTTTTTTGACTTGCAGGTAATACTGGTATCTGTTCATGAGAATAGAAGAAGACATGTCCTTTAATACACAAGCTTGGAACACATTTCTGTAACATACATGTCTCTGCACACAAAACCCAGAGTGCACAGCAAGATAGGCAGGTGCTGTTGACAAAGGTCATCTGTATGCAAGATGGGCAGTGGCCTGTGCTGAATTCATCCCTGTTTGATGTCACAGGTGCCACATCCTCTTCATTCTCAGTTCGAGAGTGCTCTTATCTAATCACTGCCTGCTTATGAACCAACAGGAAGAATCACTGACAAGGACCAGTTCTACCTAACGAAGACCAGGAATGGAAGCGCTCCTCTGAATCTGGACATGCAGGAAGACATCACAGCTGAAGCTATGCTCAACAGGGTGCATTTCTTGAACAGATTCTAGAAATGTGCCATCTTCTACACGCACAAGTTTGGTACAGCAGACGACAAATGGGTCGAATAATTCAGAATCCTGCTAATGGACAGAATAAAGCCTTTCTGAGCAAGGCTGCACCATAAATATCTGTGACCCCTCAAAGTCTGATCGGATGCCACTTTGCCCCCTGAAATCTGGCTCCCACGAGCAAAATGCAGACTGAGTGTGGCCATATACAGCATGCAGACCCTGACCCCAGAGTACTGCTTCCTGGCCAGTAAAACTGTCATGGCCACACCCCATGCATTTCCTCCTAGGACATCACGTCCTCTGATCACATTCTTACGAACCAGTCACTGTTTCAAGTCACATTTGTCCAGTATCACTTCTTGGCGAACACTGACAATCCATCTGGTAACTGTAATGCTTACTGTGGTATAACCTTGACATCTCAATCCAGCAGAACCAGGGGTGACCAAAGCCCAGGTTTCTTGGGGACAGGAAATTCAAAACTGATAGCTACTCGGGGCTGGGGATTTAGCTCAGCGGCATAAGCGCCTGCCTTGCAAGCAGGCAGTCGTGAGTTCGATCCCTGGTACCAATAAAAACGAAAAAGACAAAAAAAAAAAAAAAAAAAAACTGATAGCTACTCCACACACCTCAATCAACCCTCACTTCTTTTCTCTTGGGCCCACAGGACAACACAGAGACAGCCACATCGAGCCTTGGCAGGGAAAATTCACACTCACATTGGAAGGGCACATGCTGGGAGTCATCTAAAAACCTCTGTGTCCCCTTGATCAAGCTAGGGCCATGGGCAACTCTGATCTCATCACAACGACCTTAGGTTCCTGATTCCTCTAAGTGGCTAAGTTCCCCGCCAACAGGAAGACAGGTCCCATATAGGAATGTAGGGGCCAAAGCCCTTATCTGGTCATGAAGGGGCACTTGTACTCTTTTAAAATGCACACAAACTAAGGGGTAAATATCAGGTAGGACCATTTCAAAAACCCTGTGAAACCAAAGCCACTTCCTGTATATATATGCAAGCATTTCCTAGGGGAATTTTTGGTAATACCACGCCATGGAAAGAAAAGCAAAATCCTGACCTACCTCTTTATTCTTCACAGGGGAGAACCCATATAAATAAAAATTTTGAAGCAACAGTTTAATATAAATCTGAAGATACAATTTAAGAGTAAAGCTTTAAAAATTGAAGCATTTTGAATTGCTATATTAAAACAGGCTGCGTAAATCTCTTCCTGCTTTTTCTCCCCCTTGTGGACTTGAGGAGGTCCTGGGACAGAGAGGCCTGAAGTCAGAACTGGCCATAGTCACTGACCCCAGCTGCCTTCAGCAACTGGCGCTCCGACAAAAGTTTCACCTTAGCACCTCTGCTTCAAGGAGCGTGTGCTCTGATAATTCCAAGCATGGCTTAGGGTTTTATATTATTTGAAATAAATAAAAGATCTATATTGAAAAGTAAATTCATGATGCACATTATCACTGCGCCAGCTGGGAGGCCTCTGGCTCGAGCCACCGAGAAGGGGGACGTGGACTTCGCCTGGAAGACAGCTCCTCCCACTTCCTGCTCGCACCCAACGGCACCCTTCCTTCCAGAGTTCTCGGCACTCTGCCACCTGGGCACTGCCCCAGCCTGGCTCCCGGTTCTCCTGTCTCCAACTCCCCATCAGGTCTCGGGCCAGCTCTCATACAGCAGGAAGAGGCCCCCTCATTCATGCAAGGTAAGCTGCTCTTTAAGAGCTTTCAGGAACTGCCCCCCAAGATGGACACTTTTTCACATCTGTAACCTCCTCAGTTCTTACACAGCAGAAATTCAGCCAAGGAAGAGGTCCTCGAGTTATCAAATCCTCTTTTCAGTGCCAAGAGGTCACTGTGAAAGCGGGTACGTCTCTACAGGTGAGCCACTTCCCATCTGAGCACCCCACTTTCAAAACTAGGGGAACAAAAACAAAAGAGCCAAGAAAGGGAGAAGAAAAGTGTTCACTTCATCCTGGATACTGCTTGAGGGTCTCAGTGTGCTTTGCTTCCATGAAACCGAAGGATTGCTAAAACCAGCAAACAAACAAACAAACAAACAAACAAGGAACAAACACCCCCTACAAGAATCCAGAAGTGGAACCCCAAGAATCACAAAGCTTCCTAGAAAGGCAAAGCGTCGTTCCCAACACTCAACATCCCGGAAACAAAATCTCCAGGTCAGATAAGATGAGGGAAGAGGAGCTCATCCTAGCAAACGTCCTGGGTATTTTCCACTTATTTTCTGTTCTGCGAGCTGGGGAGACGGGTGGATATTAATACAGTGTGTAATGCACTTACTAAGCACTTCCTGTGAGCTTAGGTCTGTTGGCTGCCAGGGTCCTCCCGGCAGAGCTGAGGCAGTCTCTGCCATTTGGAGTCACGCATCCCCTTTGCCACCCTCCTCACTGCACCACCTCGGGGCTCAGTGACTTTGCTCCGGGACATAAAACCTGGGAAGCGCTAGCCTAGCGTTAGTTGCCACCGCTACACCCTTTTCTGACTTCACGCTGGAGAGGAAGCGATCACTAAGGACTATATGTCTATTCTGGGCTCCCTCACAGAGGCCACCCACCAGCTATCCCCTGGATCCTGCTAAAGGAAAGCTCTGCTTTTCTTTGCCCTGCTGCTCCCAGCTCTCACTTCACACATGAGAGCAAGCGCTGGTTAGTTGCACCCCGACCCAGGACACAGGGCACCCTGCTTCCCTCTCACACAGCTCCTGGCCGGGAAGGCAGGGTGTTGGGGGACAGAAACCCCAGCACTGAGGAAGCCGAGCCCTCTCCTGAAGTCGCCCAGACGACATGGGGATGTGGGCAGCAGTAATGACACAGTGCTCTAGCCACACGACTTTGAATCCTACGACGTCAGTCTGCAGAACCCAGGACGAGGTTCAGGCGGCTGTGGAAACAGGTCGGTCGGGACATTTTCACACTGAAAAGCACTTTCTGTAAAACATAAAGATTGTATCCCAGAGTGAAGGAGAGAGACAGGAATATGAGCCGGAATTCTATTTTTAGGACGCTTGGGTTCCGCTCAGTTTGGATTTGAGATTCAATTATACCAGCAGTAGAATATAACCGTGAATCCTATTTTGGAAACATGCAATTTCATGGAAGCATACTCCACCCTGTAATGGCTTTGGGTGGAGGGGAAAGGAGGGGAAAATAAAGGAAAGAAAGAAAGGAAGGAAGAAGGAAGAAAGAAAAACCAGTCTTCGTGCCAGGAAAGTATTTGCCAACTTTCCAAAGAGATCCTCTTTGAAGTTCCAAGCTCCCAAGGAAACTGTTGAATATTTTTCATACTCAAAGACCGAGAAATAGCCCATCTGTCCCTTAAGGTCCAACGACCAGTCTGAGCTTAGGATTCTCCGCTCCCTCTGAGAATTGGTGGACTTAATTACAGTTGCTGAATACAGACAGAATTTCTCTTCTCCAAGTTTCGTGTTTAAAGACTCATCTGTGGAGTAAACTCAGGTTCCTCTGGGCGACACAGAAAGTGCTACTAATAATCGGTTCCTGATAATCATCACAAATGGGACCTGGTTGATGTTGCGACCTCCCTTGTCTATCTGTAATGTTCCTGTCCCAGGGCAACAAAATCTGTGACCTTTCCAAGTTCCTTTTTCCTCTAAGATTTGCAAAAGAAAGTTCATTGTTTTTGCTTAATTTCAAAGCCATACGGCTTCCAATCAATAGAGCATTGAATGATTCCGACAGAAGTATCAAAGAACTCTTTCAAAATGACCCCCGAAAGCAGCCACGAGCCTCCATCAATGTGAGGCACTGCTATGATCTTCTGTCTCTGCTTTTAATCCACATTCACATGAGCAATCAGGTGCCTGTGTTTCCTCAGCAGGTTGGTTCATTGCCCTCAGATTGAGAAATCCCACGAAGCATGTCCCACACTACCACATGAACACCCAGGGGGAGTAAACGCCCCTCTTCCCACAGGTGAAGCCAGCACTCCATGCCCAGGCCTGTGGCAGTGCCCCAGCAGATCCAAAGGTGACAGCAGCCTGTCATGACCCTACTGATCATGCCAGGTCAGCTGGCAGGGGCCCCTCCAGCAAGGTCTGAGCTGCCAGCAAGGTCTATACTTCCCTGGGGACCAGCTTTGTAGCCAGGAAAGGGGAGGGAGAGGGACAGTGAGCCGGGGCAGAGCCTCAGTGACCCTCGGTCCTGAGACCAGCATGGTCCAGGCAGTAGACACTGCTCAGGGCGCCTGGGCCTTGGGAATGGGCCTGGTGGGGCCCACAGGGAACGGCAAGAAGCCTGTGTCCAAAGTCTCAGAGATGCAGGGTCACGTACCACCGCAGCATGGTCATGGCTGAGCTACGGAACAAAGCAAGTTTTTTAAAAATTCAAGTCCAGCCTTTTTTGGGTGTAGAATAGGAAGCCATACTGAAAGAAGAGAATGACTTGACTTGCCCCAGGTAACACTGCTTCTTTTTGGTTATTTTTGAGTTTTATTTTGAGACAGCATCTCACTATGTAGCCCAGGCTGGCTTCAAACTCACAGCAATCCTCCTGCCTCAGCCTCCTGAGTGCTGGGATTACAGGCCGAGGCCTGATTACCTAGGCATCTGACAGGCAA